CCAAAGATTTTCAATTGGATTTAGGTCTGGAGGCTGGCTAGGCCACTCCAGAACCTTGATATGCTTCTTATGGAGCCGCTTCTTGGTTATCCTGGCTGTGTGCTTCGGGTCATTGTCATGTTGGAAGACCCAGCCACGACCCATCTTCAATGCTCTTGACTGATGGAAGGAGGTTGTTGCTCAAAATGTCACAATATATGACCCCATTAATCCTGTCCCCTTCGCAGAAAAGCACCCCCAAAGCATGATGTTTCCACCCCCATGCTTCGCAGTAGGGAAGGTGTTCTTTGGATGCAACTCCTTCTTTTTCCTCCAAACACGGCGAGTGAAGTTTAGACCAAAAAGTTCTACTTTCGTCTCATCTGATCACATTACTTTCTCCCATGCCTCCTCTGGATCATCCAGATGGTCATTGGCAAACTGCAGACGGGTCTGGACATGTGATGACTTGAGCAGGGGAACCTTTCGTGCAAAGCGTGATTTGAAACCATGATGGCTTAGTGTTCTACCAACAGGGACCTTTGAAACTGTGGTCACAGCTCCCTTCAAGTCATTGACCAGCTCCTCCTGGCTCTTCTTCCGGCTCTTGGAGAGTACAGACGCTTTTTTCTCCTCTCCCTCCCTCCTTATCCCAAGGCTCTTTGTCCTGTCTGTGCACAGCGCTTCTACATTTTTTCTGGAAACTGGAAATAATTTAAAATGGATCTGGTCAGTTGGTCTCTCAACGCGATTGACAACATTTTTTCAACGATGAGAACGGGAGAAGGGGCTCCCGGATGCCCCTCTGGGACAGAGCCAGCTGGGTATATCATGGACTCCTGGAAAAAGTGGAACCTGATATGCCTTTCTCAACTGTCTGTAGAGGATTCTGAAGATGTTTGGATATTCGTCGTTTTGGTGTCGGGATTCCTGCTGTTTGGCCTGAGCGGTTACCTGGCTTACCGGAAAATTAACAAGCTTTCAAGGAATATTGGCTCAATCCCGGAGCTCAGGGATGGAATGCATCGCGCTGTGAACGCACAAACTCATGTAATTGTCGAGATGAGTCGTAAGCTTGGAACTTTGGCTGAGATTCTGGCTCTGACACAGAAGGTGGATTCCATCAAGGAGAGAGTTGACGGATCAGCACGGATTGGGATTGATTAATTGCACCATTATTGGATCTAGAGGGGTTGAAGACCAACAGAACTCTAAGGCAGAGAGGAAATTATCTCTGCCTGTCCCCAAAATAATTCTTATCTGAATCTGGTGCCCTTGGAGCCTGTGAGGCTGAAGTGATAACTCTCCCCTCAGAAGAAATGTGGAATGTTGCTGTAGCTATGGAAACTCTTTCTCCCTATCCCAGTCTGCGCGGGACTGCGACTGATGAAGGCCGTGGAACCGTATCTAGGAGTCACTGTGCTCTCTAACCCATTATCTCCCTCCCCTGTCCAAACGGAGGTGATGAGTGCTGCTCCATGCGGCTGCACGCACCGAAGTGAGGAGAGTCCCAATCCTACCTCCCCACCTAGGGGACACTTCTGTTGTGTAATGGCTGAAGTCTGTGTGCATATCTGTCTGAGTTTTTTTTTTTTTTTTTTTTTTTTTTTGCATAGCAAAGCTACCCTCTCTGTGGAGGGTAACTCTAAAGTGCCTTTTTTTTCCTTCCCCCTGACTCTATCCTCATGTAAACCCTCTTGATCTATTACAGTAGCGCTACTCGGGTTGCGAATGGCCACAGTTCTTGTCATGTGTCTATGTATGTATGTCTGATCTCAGAATTGTGTGTACTGAGACTCTAATTTCCCTCTGGGATCAATAAAGTATTTTTGAATTGAATTGAATTGTGTAATTCTGGGCTGATTCCTCACCTTTCTTATCACCTGTGACACCCCACGAGATGAGATCTTGTATGGAGCCCCAGTCCGAGTGAGACTGACAGTTGTCTTTAGCCTCTTCCATTTTCTGACAGTTGCTCCAACAGTTGATCTATTTTTACTAAGCTGCTTGGCAATTTCCCCGTAGCCCTTTCCAGTCTTGTGGAGGTCCACGATTTTGTCTCTGGCTTCTTTTGACAGCTCCTTGGTCTTGCCCATGGTAGTAGTTGGAGTCTGACTGACTGACTGTGGGGTGGACAGGTGGTGCTACTAATTAAGATTACTAAGTGGAGTAGAAGTGATCTTCTTAAAGAGCAAGTCACCCCCAAATCAACTGTTTTTTTTCTGATAAACTACATAAATGCGTGTCTAATTGTGCTGCAGACACGTGCAGTCAATAGTTTTGCACTTTAGTGCATTTTAGTTAAAATTTTAATGTTCTGCCTGAAACTGTCAGTGTTGTGCCGTTGTCAGGTAAAAACTCTGCACTGCATTTGAATTTAAATCTGCCATCACTATTGGCTAAGAGGTGTCCTAGAATGTTAGCTAGTACCATATGATGTCACAATATCATTGTGAGCCTGTGTGTGTATTTGTTAGCAGCTCCGCCCTCTCGGTCTGCTAGGCAACAGCATTTGTTGCATTTTTCAAGCAGGAAGTGGGAGTGGAGTAATACTCTGGTAGGGGCTGACTTGCTCTTTAAAGGCAGAGTTGTTACTCTCAGAATTCTTGCCAGGTGTTCAAATACTTGTGTCCAGCAGTGCAAAACAAATAAGTTATTTACAATTCATACAATGTGATTTCCTGATTTATTTTTTTTACATTCTGTCTCACAGTGGGAATGCACCTACAATGTGAATTTCAGACCCCTCCATGATTTCTAAGTGAGAGAACTTGCAAAATTGCAAGGTGTTCAAATATTTATGTTCCTCAATGTGTGTGTATACATACATATATATATATATATATATATATATATATATATATATATATATATATATATATACTGTATATATATATATATATATATATATATATATATATATATATATATATATATATATATATATATATATATATATATATACACTGTATATATGTGTGCACAGGTTGGGCCATTTATATGGATACACCTTCATAAAATAGGAATGGTTGGTGATATTAACGTCCTGTTTGTGGCACATTAGTATATGTGAGGAGGCAAACGTTTCAAGATAGGTGGTGACCATGGTGGCCATTTTGAAGTTGGCCATCTTGGATCCAACTTTTGTTTTTTCAACAGGAAGAGAGTCATGTGACACATCAAACTTATTGAGAATTTCACAAGAAAAACAATGGTGTGCTTGGTTTGATCATTACTCTTAAGTCCCTCCAGCACACAATACTGCATATGTCAAGGGTAAATGGTTCTGTGAACCGCACCTAGATAAAGTCCATGTTTCCCTTCCAGACTCCATACAAATAACACACCTTCATAAATAAGGCAGGATGATTCATCACATGCTGCACTGCTTCCTTCAGAATTTGGTTATTCAATAATATTACCCTTTATCGCCTCTGGAACGAGCTCTCTCTGGCAGTAAAGCCGGCTCCATCTCTTCAGGCGTTGAAGTCTCACTTGAAAACCCATTTTTACTTGTTAACTTCCCCCAACGTCATCTTTGACTCTGCCTTTATGTTTTAATGGTTTTCAGTTCACGTTGCTTTCAATGCTCTTACTTGTGTTTATCTATTTATTGTTCTTATGTTATTTTTATCCTCCTTTTAATTCTTAGGATGTCTATGTTTTTCTATGGTGTTCAGCACCTTTGGCTTCCATTGAGGTTGTGGAAAGTGCTATTCAAATAAAATTTGATTGATTGATCCAAGTCAATCCACGAGGCATAACGCTTCAGCTTTGAGTTATGTGGCTTCTGAATCCAATCCAGCCGGAATGATGAAAAGATGGAGAGGAAAAGCGAAAAAGATTGAAATGAAAACCTCGGGTGGATGTATAGAAATCCGTTTACCAACAATGTGAAGTCCTTTAACATTAGATTCTGTCTCGACTGCATCGAGCGTTACCTTTTGATTGATTGCTTATGGATGGTGCGCCTGTATACCGCCACGGAAAACCGTGAGATCAAAGGGAAGATTAAAGTAAATCTATAAGATTCTATTTTTAGCACATCACAAAAACAAACCTAGGTGTGACGAGATGAAAAATGATTTCCAGGATTTCTAACCCAATGGTTGAAGGTTAAGGGCAGGTTTGTTTGGAGAATTTCTCACAATAAACTAAAAATGAAAATATAGTTGTTTTCATTAATTACATCAATCAATAAATAAACACAACACATTTATTTCCCAATTATCTAGAAGCCTGTTGGTGGATTTTGGACAAATCTCAGTTAAATCAAAATGATTTGAATATTCATCAGTATTCAATTAACTGAATACAAATAATGACTTAACTTAGCAATGAGCGTTGCTGTGTGTTTCTATTAAACAAAAGGCAAAAAAGCTCATCTTAATGTCAATGTTTTTGTCCAAACACTAAGAAGAAAAGCCACTTTTGTGGAATAAAGGCTACCTCTAGTTGGGCAGAGCAAACAGCTAGCTTAGATCAAAGATTATTAGCATCTCAACATAACTGTAGTACCACAAACCTCTAAAAGAAAAAGTATGCAAATGTCTTTTAAACATTTACTCAGTTTCACTAGAAATATAAAATTCTGACCTTAGGTGTTTAGTCTACAAACAGCTAGCTCTGTGCTAGCTAGCTATACAATCAAGACAGGCTTAACTAAATCGGAGACTGATACTCAAAACACTCATTTTTGTAGTAAAATAGAAAATATTACCACTCCTGTTTATTTCTTTTATGTTTTTTTAACTGTAGAAGATAGTCAAGAGTCATCGGCTAATAGTTTTATGGTGTAGTTGTCTGGGGGTAGTTAGGTTGTGTTAGCATATATTACTTGTTTGTTTGGAGTTTCTGCATCAGCATGTAAATGACCTTGTTTGTTCCAGAATAAGAGATTTTATGGTTTTAGCCTGGAAATCTGGCCAGACGTCAGGTTCCAGTAGGTGTGATTCTCTAAGCATCATTTCAACAGTGTGTGTGTCTTTTTTCTTGTCCGTGTCAAACTTTGGGACTTGTAGCGGAGTTGATGTACACGGTGGAGCTCGCTGGAGGTCTGGGAGCCATCCTGCTGCTGATGATCTGCCTCGTGACTCTCTACAAGTGCTACCGGATCGAGCTCATGCTCTTCTACAGGAACCACTTTGGCAGCGAAGACATCGACGGGGGTAAGATCAGGAAAGATTTCCTGTGAGGCTAGTTTTTTAAATATTTTTTTTCTAAAGTAATAAAGCTTTCTAAAGCAAGGCATTAGCATGAATACATCAAACGGAAACAAACCTCCTATTCTGACCAGTATGGGAGCATCTCTGCACCGGGGTTTGTTTTTATTTAGAAAACACCTGGGCTATTTTTCTTCTCATGGAGCGGCAGGTGGCTCAGTTTTTATGCAAATGTAAACATTTTATCAGTTCAAATGACTCATTTACTCACCGAAGAAAAGCCTTGCTTGGCTCTTCCTGTTCTCTCATTCAGGAATCTTCTCCCCACTTCCCTAGAGCCGTACAATAAAAAGAAATTCAGTAAATTGTTGTTCTTATAATAGGAAATAACCCTCGAAAATAAATATATGTAAATTAGGTCTGGAAGGTTTCTCCTGTCTGCTTGCTAGCTTCACATTAGTAGAAGAACGATATGTTGAGATGAAAACCCTATAAAGCAAATCCATACACTCCCCCCGTGTCGGACAAAAACATTAACTCCGAGCTCTCATCAGCAGCGGTAAAAGGAGAAAGCAGGCCCTTGATTGGGCCTGGTGGATGAGTCATAGCGTGAGAATGCATCAAACTGAGACAAGGGGGTGAGTTTTAATTTGATTTCCCCGTAATGAGTCTCTGTAGTACCGGTGAATTCAGGGCGAATGAGATTAGTTCAGAGAGTGGAAACAGGCGGCCAGAGGGCGGTTTGTTAAAAGCTAATAAATCTTTTAGCTCCCTTTTTGATTTTCAGCTGACAAGTGAAACTTTTTGAGACCTCCAGTTGTGGAAAAGGAGGCGGAGCTTCCTTGTAAATTATAACCCATTGGGCCTTGATGTTAAAAGCCAAACAGCAATTGTCTCATTTACCTGTGCCACCGCAGAGAGCTCAGAGAGGGGAAACAGATTTTCAATTTGTTCCTGAGCGTAAGAGGATCAGGTCCAATAAGACCGGCGCTCTCCAGAGACTCCTGATGCTTTGTATTTTACGCCGCGGCCCATTAGATCTCTTCACCGCCACCTCATGAGCGTGCACGCTCTCACTGACGCAAGACAGCTGAGCTCTGGTGATGGTGTGCTTGTAGATGAATGGATTAAAAGCTTTCAGCTGGATGGAAATAAAACAGGCTCTGGCAGGAGGTGGTTAAACAAGCTCCCATCACCATGGTAACTGCTAGAAAGGAAAAGGGGAAAAAAATATGTGTAAGTATGGGGTGCCCAAATGGAAAGTAATGCTTAGATCAACTGACTTCTATGTTAAGTCATATTTAGCTCCTCATAACCAATAAAAGAGATGCAGTCTTTTTAAAGTCGGTTTTCACCACATTTATTAACAAATTACAATTTTGAAGTTAGAGATTTTTAAAAAGTTATTCAAATATTTAGAGCCAATACTAAATATAAAGCGAAATCTAAAAATATCAGAATAAAATCAGAGCATAAATTAAAATATACATTTTGAGAATTGTATCTAAATTTTAAGTCAAATCTAAATATTTGCACTTTAACATAAGCTCAATCTAAACATATTACATAAAATTTAGAACCAAGTCTAACTATAAAATAAATCAAATCAAAATATGTAACACTGAATTTTAGTTAGTGACTCTAAATCTTAATTTACATGTTTGAAAACAAAAAAGTATATTGGTAAAACATTTTGGAATAAAATCTAAATATCTCAAATTAAACCAAAACTATTAGAATCTTATTTAAACAAATAGTTACATTCAAATATTTTGAATGAAAAATATATAAAATAAATTGTCTAAAATTTCTAATCAGTTGTAAATATGAATTGAAATTTTAAACTTGAGAATCTAATTAAATAATTTTTTTAATGTAAATATATAAGGAAATATTTATTTAGATCATGAATAAAATTATTAAACTACATCTACATTTTAAACTTAAAATATATTGGAGAATATAGAAATTTCTGGCACATTTTTAACATCTCTATTTGATTGCATGACTCGGGTCAGCCATAGGCACCCCTGGCCCAGATTCTGGCTAAATGAACCGTAATTTGATGGACACACAAAATCATGCTCATAGAGTCCAAGACAGTAAAAATGTTTTCCCTTCTTCCAGCTTTTATTTTGGTAGGATACTTGGACCTAATTTGCATGTTAGTTAAATATTTAGTTTAAAAAACACATTTACATTAGATTTCAAAATTCTGATGTAACTTTATGTCATGTTTGACTATATATATATTTAACTATAAATGTATAGTTGTGATTTATTATTTTTTATTTAATGCTTGAATCTAAATATTTAATTCTTGATTCTAAATCTTGAAATATTTAATGATTGGTTCTAAATATTCAATTCTTAAGTCTAAATATTTTAAATATTTAATACCTGATTCTAAATAGTTTTATGCATGTTAGATTTATGTACCTTAATGTTTTTTTAAATAAATATTTCAATTCCAGGGTATCCGCGGGTCCTTAAAAAGTCTTAAAAAGTCGTAAATTAGCTTTTCCTAATTTAAGGCCTTAAAAGTCCTTAAAAATGACAAATAATCCTTAAATCCAGTTTCCAAAGGTCTTAAATGACCAAAGACCCAATAAACAAGATTCTTTTATTTCTATAAAATTTTCGTGAATCTCTAGTTAGTGTTCAGCATTTTTTGTGTATGATGTTGCCGTAAGCGGAACCGTACGCAGTCAGTTGGTTGTGAAAGGGGGCTATTTTTTTAGATGAACACATTAGCTGGTTAAGCTAGTGGGAGCTTGCACCATGGGGAAGGGCAAGTTCAATGGTAACTGGATGGCTAATCCCACGTTCGCGACGTGGTTAGCACCGGCTCCAGGCAAGAGCTGGAAATTATCGCTTAAATTTAATTTTTAAAATAGCTTAAATTTGGTCAAAGTGGCCTTAAAAAGGGTCTTAAAAAGTCTTAAATTTGGCTCCCTTAAATCTGCAGCTACCCTGAATTCAACTTTGTACATTTAGTTTTGAATCACATCTCTAGATTCATTTTATTCCTAATACTAAATATGAACATTGTCATTTGAAGCTTTAATCTGATAAAATACCTTATTTTACTGTCAGCGCTCCACACTTAGGAGATACTCAAACACACACGCTTTTCATCAATCCTCTAAGCTGTTATCTTGGACTGGGAGATGTGGTTTTCTCCTGCCAAGAAAGTGCCACAGTTTCGTCGTTTCCTCTCCGATCTTAATTGAACGCTGTCCTTCGTTCTTCTGCCAGATGTAAACTTGTACGTTAGCAAAAGGATGACTATATGTCAGCAGTGCAGTTTAGTTAAAGAGCGTACTCTTGTCACATTGTGTGGGTGTCACTGGAATCAATAATGGGCCTCATGATGACAACAGACGACGAGGTGGGAGCTCATCAACACACACACAGTCTGGAAATATGAAGCTCCGTCTTTGTTCACTGGAACTTAGAGCTAATTAATCCTTTTAGGTTCTCTGCAACGTTAATGCATGCTGCCTCAGTAACATATACACTATCCACATGTTTCATTACACACAACTCCATTGCTGCTCTGTGGTACATAATCGTACCATGTGGTGACACAATACATATTTGTTTTTAACAATTGATCTTAAAGCAACAATTCAGATATTTTGGTCGTTTTTCAGAAAAATCTGACAATTTTACATCTTAGGTATTGTACAAGTCTCTTTGATTGACCTCAGATTGGAGAATTGGTCTAATGCTCACAGACTGATAAGCTAATGGCTAGGTGGCTAAAGACCAAAGTGGATTTCTACAGTTTTAGGTCATCACCAGTCACTTAACATTAATTTTACTCCACAAAAGCTTAGAAGGTGATCTTTTGTTGTACTCTGAAACCGATTTACAATTGGAGTAACATCAGGCTAAGATTGCCGTCACAGCTAATTAGCATTAGCAGACGTAAGCTAATTAGTATGAGCTGACATAAACGTGTTGTAAATCAGTCGTTTTACAGATATTGAACTAAAAGCAGATGCGGTAGTAGTTGAGAGTCATTTGTAACTCATAATTCAACTCCTAACAAAAAATTTTGTCAAAAAAGCTGAAACTGTCAGTTTTCAACATACGATGGTCTTAGTGTAAAACTCTTTCTTCAAGGATCCCTCAGCATGTAATCCACGTAATTTGCATCACCCAGTTTCTCAACGTTTTACGCTCTGATACAAACTCATATTCTGTTGGCTGAGTCATGAAAAATGAAACGAGATGTTTGAGAATCACCCAGCTGCTCATTAGCAGTCCATCCTTTCAGCTCCTGCAGCACCGGACCACTCTCCTCTAAACGTGACTGAGTCCTGAGACGTTACAGCAGAGATTACCCCTCCGACTCTCTGGCATTCTTTACCACGAGTTCAAGAGTTCACCATCCAACCGTGGGCAGACAGAGAGCACGTGCTGAGTGCTAACACATGTTCGTAGGTAAATCCCTCAGCTGTCTAGAGATGCTGAGGATGGTTGGGGGGTGTTCTTGCTGCCTTTGTGACTCACCTTTTTCACAGACGAGTGAATCACCTGCATTTAAAAAGGCATTGATCTGCCTACACAGCATTTGTTTAAATGCTACCAGAGAGGTGGTCGGTACCACCAACAATCATCTCCTACTGGAGGAACTCGCAGATTTTAACCCAATCAGTACTATCGGTTACTTCTGCACAGTAATACATATTTTGTTTATTGTTAAATTTGTGGTTATTTGATGCTCACAGAGTTGTCAAACTCCTGAGTTCACATTATAAAGAGTGCAGACACAGATTTCTATCAGCAGGAGGCAGAATTGAGCTGTTTAGTCGCAAATAAAAGGGATATTTTGTAGCATTCTGACATCAGTTTAAAGTATACCAACTACTTAAAGTGTTTCAATTTGATATTTATATAATTTGAATATTTTATTTAATTTCGCTAAAATGTGTGGGGACAAAAATATTTCTTTTTACAACTATTTTGTTTCACCCATCAGTTCTTTGTGATTTAATAACCCAAAACTAAGCTAATATTAGCCGTTATGCTAACATGGGTCTCAATATCTTTACTTTTGTTAAAGACAAAGTTAAATCAGAAACCACTTTTTCTTTGTTATTTTTTAAATATGATTGGTCACTCTTGTGTTTAACATGCAGGCACAACGTCTAAATTGTCTTCTACCCCTAATTCCTTCATTAGCTGATATCGATGGCGAAACGCTTGGGTTAGAAAAGCCACTCAGATCCACGTCACACTGTAAATTAACATTCATGGACTCATCCATCTAGGCTCACGATGGGGAAGGCCATTGTTGGTTTAGCCTCCAGGAGAGAGCAGAGCACGTCTCGGCTAGTAGAAGCCAACCATTAGCATTAGCAAATCCACCACAAAGCAGAACTCTTTCAGGCTTTTGTTATTTGTGGTGATAAAACATCAGCATTGAAAAATAAAACAGAGTTGTATTGCTGTTAGCCAACCAGAGGGAAGATGTCAGAATATCAGGAAATAAAAATGCAAATCCTGCTGTCTTCTGCTCACCTCTGCTCTGGCTGTATTCTACTTCCTGAAACAGGAGTGCCAGAGCTTTTATCCTACAGAGACTGACTCATTTATACTAGAGACCACTGCAAATGATTTTTTTAAAAGGAAGTGAACTTGTTCTTTAAACTGTGAGACTTTTGCATCATGTGAAGTATTATTTACGATTAATATTTGCTTTGCTACAATGTCTGAAAGAATTACACCAGTGCACCTGCAGGTGGCACTCTTACAAAGATCAGGTAGTTTATATGTGTGCTAGGGGACCTTGGATCCCTTTAATTATCCATCCATCCATCCATCCATCCATTTTCTGAACCCGCTTGTCCACGTAGGGTCGCGGGGGGGCTGGTGCCTATCTCCAGCGGTCAATGCGCAATTAGGCGGGGCACACCCTGGACAGAGAGCCAGTCCATCACAGCCCCTTAAATTACTTCTAATTAAATTTCTGTGTGATCAATCACTCACATGAAGAAGAGCTGCTATGAGAGCCTGAATGCGAGTTTGCAAATATTTTTTGTTTTACATTGAAACCGTGCGTGATTTCCTGTCTAGCCCTTCTGCCGTTCCACACCACTGATGCTTCCAGTGTGCAGTAGGCTTCAGTCTGCAGAGCGAAAAGGGAATATTTTTGTTATAATTTAGGAGGGGGTCACTTTCATTTTTTTCTTGTGTTCAAGGCTGCAGTCAAAACTGAAATACAAATTCCATTAATTTTACATCCCTAACAAAAAAAGTTTAAATCTCATTTCATTAATGGGAAAATTCAACTAAACTGACTTTTCCATTACGCAGCACCACATCTTTTCCTTTTCCACATTAATGACTAATTTGTTGTCGAGCTAGGCTTTTGTAATCATCTAAAAATTGAATGTCCTGCCATAATTTCTTTATAATCTACCCAAATGTTGTCTTGTTAAAGGTGTTTATTTGAATTCAAATTACATAATAGTTTATGACATTGTTTAATACTTTCTAAGCCCATTTTCTTCAGGGTTTTTCCTGTAGATTTGTGCAGTTTAAAAAAACCTAATAGCTAGTTTGGATTTGGTGTCTGAGCTAGTTGTAATGTAATAATGGGGGCTTGTCCGGGATCTGTGATCATTCAGATTCATCTGAAGAATATACCTTTCTTTGAGTTGTTTGCCCAGGAGAAGAGAGTGAGTGTGTTTGGAGTTGCGTCTTGCATGCTTGAATTGTTTTAGTTGTTTTTCTCCGGAGCCAGAGCACATTATCTCGTTCGTATAGAAGATATCTCCATGACGTCCTTTCCATTCTCCTGATTTATCTTACCACCATTCTCCCCTTAAGAAGATGCACAAAGCCCTCCCTCATTCCTCACTTTCCATCTCTCAGTTCGGTACTTGAAATCCATCATCGGTTTTTGCCTTCATGCGTGTGATGGAGCGGTACCGGCATTGGGCGTTTAGCTCCAGCTGGACTCTAATTTGTTTTGCCTGCAGAGGGCGAAGTAGCCATCAAGGCAACCTAATTTGTCAGCAGAAACGGAGCTGTAATGAAAAGCACTCAGATGGGCCGAGGCGCCCAGAGGTCAGCATAATGGAGGCGTTCTGTACTGAAGAAGTCTCCCAGTAAATGAATAGCCCTTTCTGTCCCAGCATGAAAATAGATGACGAACATCCAAGGTGCATTGGAGCGTGCTGACGTTCTGCTTTAGAGGAAAGCTCTGTTATCATAACTCTGATTCTTCCTTCTCCCTGCAGACAACAAGGACTACGACGCCTACCTGTCCTACACCAAAGTGGACCCGGACCAGTGGAGCCAGGAGACCCGGGAGGAGGAGCGCTTTGCCCTGGAGATCCTCCCCGATGTGCTTGAAAAGCATTATGGGTATAAACTCTTCATTCCAGACAGGGACTTGATCCCCACAGGAAGTAAGCTCTCTCTCATGGCGGTGAAACGTTGTGTCCGAATGTGTTGTGACTTGGTGTTGCTCGTGTCGCTGTTGTGGGCGGAATGCTGATGCCTTGTTTGTCGGCTTCTGTTATGCGTTTGTGTTGTGGCATAACAAAGGGCCCGTAAAGATCCATCGTTGTTTCCATTTCGATCATTTTGAGTTGAGCTTTTTCTAACCACTTACTTTTATTAAGTTCTAACCGCTGGTTCAACTGAAATGGACCAAGTTGTGAAAAGAGATAATTTAAGGTGAAGTTCCCCCGTTTATTTCAATAGTTCACAAAAACTCATTTGAGGTTCATCAGGAAATTTCTTAATGAAAAAAACTATAGTTTATTTTCCCACTCTGAAGTTCATCAGAAAAAATTCTGTTATTTTTTTAAGTAAATAAAGACTTTGCATTTTTCTCCATTTACTTCAGTAGTTGATAAAACAGTCTTCCAAATTATTTAAAATAACCTCTAAATAAAAAACTAAACTAAAAACCTAACATGAATAAATCTTATTAATTTTAAGTCACGATGTGTGAGGATTTTACAGTTAAATAATATCAAAATACTCCAATCCTGTTGGGAGGAAGGATATTTCCTTCTCAGCCAGCTGGGAGGGTTATGAGTTCTTCAAAACCACTGAAGAGGGACGTAGTTGCTGATGCTGTGAGGTTGTAAAAATCAGTTTAACTCATTTACTTCCCGCTGTTTCCTGATCAGAAAAGCCCCTGGCTGCCAGCGTTTTTGAACGTTTTTACTGTTTTTTGAAGAGTTACAAAATGTTTTGCTCTAAGATGATTTCAACGCCAAAACTATCAAAACAAAGAGTAGACTCACTTCTTACATCAGAATCCACGTGTTTCTAGCATTATCCGTTCTTTCATAACTCGTTGTAGATTTCTGAGCGGCAGAAACTTTTCCTGATTTGCGCCTCACTTTTTTCACAGCAGCGGCCCAAAAAGATCTCATAACACATAGATTGTCTGATTCCTGCTCATGCGACGTGTGACATACGTGGATGAAGGTCAGCTTTAGAGCTGTGGTGTTTGTTCTCACAGTGCGAGACTCGTTCTGATGCTCGCCTAGTAAAAAAATGCAAATGTCTACTTTAGTCGTCAATAAATGAGTTAATTACAGTAAATGAACAGTAAATTAGTTAATTACATTAGCATGGGAAAATCAACTGTGGCATCCCTTGTGGTGGCTGTTGGTATTGCAGTTTAACTCAGCAATAGCATTACAAAAGCAGCAGCAAAAAACATTGTACGTTTTACACGCAGAAGTGCTAACAACAACTTTAGCTTAAATGGGAGTTAAATAACATTAGGCAACATTATCAAAAACTTCAGCAAAATTTGCAACTACAAGAAGTTAGAGAAGTGTTTGAAACTCCCATGATTCATTGATTACCGTGAAGCAATATGTAGGCTTATTTTACGATATTCACATGTTGATTATTGCTGTATAGACAAAAAATCTGGTTTCATTCAAAAATGTCTGACTCAATGACATCAGACAAAAAGGTCTCAGGAAAAAAAGTTTCTGGGAAAAGTCTGACAGTTTTTCCTGAGAGTTTTTAGTCTTCACAAAAAAAATTCCTGAGGCCTTTTAGTCTTGACAAAAAAATTTCATGAGGCCTTTTAGTCTGGACAAAAAATTTCCTGAGACCTTTTAGTCTGACAAACTTTTTCTTGAAACCTTTTAGTCTTAAAAAAATTTCATGATACATTTTAGTCTGACAACCTTTTTTTTCCTGAGGCCTTTTAGTCTGACAAACTTTTTCTTCAGACCTTTTAGTCTGACAACCTTTTTTTTCCTGAGGCCTTTTAGTCTGACAAACTTTTTCTTCAGACCTTTTAGTCTGACAACCTTTTTTCCTGAGGCATTTTATTATTGACAAACTTTTTCCTCATGCCATTTTTTTCAGACAAAGCTTTTCCTAAAACCTTTTGTCTGAAGTCTGAGTTTTTTTATTAAACCTGATGTATTTCGTTCTCTATGGTCTGATGTCTGAGACCTGAGGATGTCCTAAAATGTATACTGTACTTTTGGACTTTTAGTTATATAACACATCAGAGCTGCATTTTATGGCTCTATATTGGTAGAAAGGAGAATAAATAAATAGAGAAATGAAAGTAGAAAGCTACAGTGCACAGTTCCTGCCATATTTGCTTCCTGATGCCAGTGAAAACAATGGAGTGAGGGTTTATCTTCTTTCTGTCACAAGTAGTGAAAGCTTGTGTATCTCATTAGGAACCAAGTTCAGTCTCTGAGTACCAAATCCTCCTGTTTTAATTAGACTGAAATGTTTGTTATTAAGACAAGCATCATAAAGTCACTTGTCTTCAGCTGCAGAAAGTTTAGTCAGGAAGAAATATCAACTCTGGAAATCCAGATATGGTAAAATCTAATTTTGTTCAGCATACTTGTGAATTTATTGAGATTTTCCCAATCTACATTCTTTACACACTTAACTCATTCACTGCCAGCCGTTTCTTGATCGCGAACGGCCTTCGCTGCCAGCGTTTCTCACCGTTTTTACTGTTTTTTTAAGAGTCACAGAACGTTGCACGCTAGCATGATGTCGATGCCAAAACAAACAAAACAAAGAGGAGACTCACCTCTTACATCAGGAAGTCTGCGTGTTTTGAGCGTTATCCGCTCTTTCATAATCCGTTGTCGAATTGTGATCGGCAGACGCTTTTCTGGTTCGCGCCTCACTTTTTTACAGGAAAGGCCCAAAATGATCTCCTAACACATGGATGTGTTGCTTCCTGATCATGTGATCTGTGACGTATGCGGATGAAGATCGGCTTCAGGGCTGAGATGTTTCTCTCAGCGCGGGGGCTCGTTCCGATGCTCAAACAGTAAAAAAATGCAAATGACGACTTAAGTCGTCATTGGCAGTGAACGGTTGGATCTAAAATGACGACTTTAGTCGTCAATGGCAGTGAATGAGTTAACAACATCAACAGGAAAGGGGACATGCTGTGGGATGGGAAAGGAGAGAAGCTGCAAGCATATTTAACCTAAACATAATAAACTGTAAGTAAACAAAGGCAATGTGAACAATAGCAGACTTTTATGAGAAAATCAATTGAGACATGATTTTGTAACTGGATGAGGTGTTCTGCTACTAAAAATAATAAAATGAAGCTCATTAGGTGAAGCATTGGCACAAAGTGAAACTAGCTTCAGTGAAACTGAAGTAAGTTAACTCTGCTTGTCAATAAAATAGCAGAGATGTCATTGTCACCGAGTCAAACAGGGAAAAACTAGAGTATCCTGTAAAACAATCATTTAAAAAAAATTGAGTTTCGAAAAAAAAAATTCACAAAGTCCTAAAAGTACATTTACTCTTGTTGTTTCCACATCATCTTTGGAGTTATTTAGCTGTATTTCAACGATGGCAATAATAATATTAATTTTTATATTTGAGATTTATACACCTTTCTAGAAACCAAAGGGATGTAAAAACAGCTGACTTTAATCAGTTAGACTTTTTTTTACTTTAACCAGTTCACTGGCATGTCAGCCACTTGGTTGGCACACAAACACATTCAGGCCATGTGCCGGGTTTTTGTAAAACCAAATATCCTCCCCCACCTATTTAGAAAATTAAAAAACAGGTCCACACCACCTCGTTTTCAGCAATAAATAAATAAATTCCAGTGCATTGTGAAGCACATAGGCATGGCAAGTCTGTAGGTGGCAGGAGTTCCCCAAATCTGCTGTGTTTTGCGCAAAAACGTTCCCTGGACATGCAATAACAAGATGGCGAGCAATAACCATCCTTAAAGAGCAAGTCAACCCCTACCAGAGTCTAACTCCACTCTCACTTCATGTTTGAAAAATGCAACAAATGCTGTTGCCTGGCAGACCGAGAGGGCAGAGCTGCTAACAAATACACACACACAGGCTCACGACAACATTGTGACATCATAATGTACCAGTTTACATCATAGCATACCTCTTAGCCAATAGCGGTGGCAGATTTCAATTAAAATACAGTGCAGAGTTTTTACCTGACAACGGCACAACACTGCCAGTTTTAGGCAGAATATTTAAATTTTAACTAAGATGCACTGAAGTGCCAAATTATTGACTACACGTGTCTGCAGCACGATTAGTCACTTATTTATTTAGTTTATCAGCAAAAAGAAGTTTATTTGGGGGTGACTTGCTCTTTAAGGTGGTCCTTCACCTCTGGTCATCCACATAGAGCAGTAACTGAGTGAGAGTAAGCACAAGTCTGCGTGATGTCAGAGCATTTTTGTCATAGTGAAACCTGAAACCCTGATTATTTACGTCCACAAGCTAATTATGACAATGGAGAAATCTCCACTTTGGTCAAAGGTTTAGAAAAAATTGTTTTTGCTGCCATCTGACTTCACTTTTGTGTGAATGACAGTCCAAACCATAGTAAAACATCTTGGTTTTGTGGGATACCTACAGGGACAGGGTCTTTGTCTTCATATTATTTAGATGCATAACTAAAAAAAACATTGTTCAACTAAATTTAAAAAAAAAAAAATATATATATATATATATATATATATATATATATATGAGGATGTTTGAAAGAAGTTAGATATTCTTACCTTATTAGTACCTTAAAATTAGTGCCATGCTTTTCCCATATATTATAACCTTACACGACATTATGACTGTTCCCCTGAAGGTTCGTCTCAAAAATGGGAAACATTTTTTTTAATCCTTCTCAGCCTTTTCCCGTATCCAGTGGTCCTAATACGCTCTTGTAAAGCTCTACATGGGAATGCACTGAAACATAACCTTTGCATGCTCTACACTATCTGAAACCAGAGGGAGGTGGTGGGGGGTGTATACTTATTAAATATGCAACATAATTATCAGAAACAGCTACTGGTGTGATTAGAGTCCGTGTGCTTCTGCATGCTGCTGTGGAACGTGTCAGCTGCACAATCAGAAGAATCTCCTTCTGCATGGATACTAATGCATGTGTCACCACCGTGCCCCGCGCTTATCTGTCATTAACTCCACACACAGTTGACTTTGATGATATCATTATGCTATTAGCAACCATTTGAATACTTGCATCTGACCGTCTTCTCGCACATACTGATGTCACTAATTACCCCCCGCTGGCATCGTGCCAGAGTTATAAATGAAATCTTTTTTGTGAACATGTGCTCATATAGCAGAAAGGGGGGACTGCTGGAATATGGGAAAAATGGCATAAAAATGCAAAAATGGAGAGGAATTTCTGATGCCATGACTTCAGCTCCCATTGGGAATGTGTTAGCATTCCAATAGTTGATGTAATGGCGTGATCCCCAGCTGTGGATAAGCAGGATGTGGCAGCAGTCTTTACCCTGAGCTGCTGTTTAGTTGTTATTCCACAGGATGATTGAATATTTTAACACTGGTACATATTTAACATACTGGTCCCATACAAATTCTGCTACTGTGGGAGCTACAAGAAGTCCTGAATGAATAAAAAACCTGATTCCTTTGCGTTTTTTATGCTGCATGTCCCATATTAACCTGGAATAAACTGGTCAGTGTGGTTTGTGAAGCATCAGTAGATAAACAGTTTATGCCAGAAGAAAATCTGCAAATGAACTGTTTTCATGCCACCAAATGTTTAAAGATGTAAATTTGAATGTTAATATCTATGTTTAGGTTTCACCAATGATCATTTCCAGGATGATACAAGACTCCTTAGAGGTACTTCTTCTACAGATTTTCATTTCTTTATTTCTTGTGCAGCAACTAAACAAGTGTCAAAAAATGGACTTACGTTAAAAAGAAAACTCTTTTTTTTTCATGCGTCTTAACTGGTTTATTCAGAGAAAGAGCCAGATCCCATAAAAGGCATTTCAAATATAAATAAGTACATTCATGATCAAATTAAAGAATACAGTACATTTGCACCTTGTTATTAAGCTTGGTAACAGTAAATATCATTGTTACTATAAAAAACAATGACTACAAGAACATTGATTTTTATTTGGTTTAAATTTATACGCGACAATATTTTTTTATGAGATGTTTCCATACTGTATATTCCATAAACTAGACAGGGCCTCATGGGCCGGTATCCAGCACATTTTAGTGGTTTCTCTAGTCCAACACACTAGATTCAGTGGTTGAATCACCTGTGCAGCAGCTCGTTAGGCTCTGCAGAACCCTGTCTGCTGATTGAAATCAGGTGTGTGGAAGTAGGGTTAAAACCAAAACGTGCTGGATAACGGTCCTCAAGCCCCGGAATTGATTAGCTCAGAACCAGACCATTCAACAGAACTCATTAGCTGTTACCTTATAACAGTTAGAAGTAGTTTCGTCTTTGGATTGTTGGTGTTTTACCCAATCAAGGAATAGAGTAGAGTGAGCTAGGGTAGGGTGGAGTAGGGTTGGATAGAGTAGAGTAGAATAGAGTAAGGTAATGTAGGGTAGGGTAGTAGGGTAGAGTAGAGTAATGTAGGGTAGAGTAGTAGGGTAGAGTAGAGTAATGTAAGGTAGAGTAGAGTAGAGTACTGTAGGGTAGGGTAGTAGGGTAGAGTAGAGTAATGTAGGGTAGAGTAGAGTAGAGTAGAGTAATGTAGGGTAGGGTAGAGAAGGGTAGGGTAGAGTAGAGTAATGTAGGGTAGGGTAGAGTAGAGTAATGTAGGGTAGGGTAGAGAAGGGTAGGGTAGGGTAGAGTAGAGTAATGTAGGGTAGGATAGAGTAGAGTAATGTAGAGTAGTGTAGAGTAGAGTAGGGTAGGGTAGGGTAGGATAGGGTAGAGTATGGTAGGGTAGAGTAGAGTATGGTAGGATAGGGTAGAGTAGAGTATGGTAGAGTAGATTAAAGTAAAGTTATGTAAGGTAGGGTAGAGTAGAGTAGAGTAAAGTTATATAGGGTAGGGTAGAGTAGAGTAATGTAGGGTAGAGTAGAGTAATATAGGGTAGAGTAGAGTATGGTAGGGTAGAGTAGAGTAATGAAGGGTAGTGTAGAGTAATGTAGGGTAGAGTAGGGCCGGCAGGATGCGATTTGGTGGGGGGATGGGTGGGATTTTACCCCCCTCTGCCTTAGACATCCCTTCTTCTGGTGATTACACCTTCATTCTTGTGGGGGGGGGGGGGGGGGGGGGGTCTTTTTTTTTGTTTCTTTCTACAGGAGGCTCTTTTGTGATGTCCAGTGCTTTAATACCGGGACTTTTTTCCAGGATATGATGACTACCGGTAGTTTTTCCGGTCATTTATTAGTTGAAATTGCCGAGACTTCTAAAAAAAACCCCATCTGCCAGCCATCCACAGTCCTTCCCTGAGCACGCTGTCCTGCCCCTCTAGAACAGGCTTGTTTTGTGCATTAGGAAGCTGTAGCCATGCAGCTACGTCAGGGTCACACACACAAACACTCCACACCAGCAGATCATCTTCAAACTCTTTATTCAGCCCTCGGACGCTCCTCGATCTGCAGGTCCAACTTAATTCATGTGGAAAAAGATGTCTCCTCTGCGTATGCTACATTTATATGTTAGAGGAGGAGGACGTCTGATTATTGATGCGCGTCACCTGCTGTTGCACTCCCGCTGCCACGTCTGCTACCCGGCGCCACAGACACATTCTCCCTGCGCAAAAGGTGCACATCACTGCCGTGAAGCGCCACGCATACTGCACCGTCTGCTCAGAAAAGAGAGAAAAAAACTGACGAGGCATATCGGACCGACGTTTTCCATCATCCCAGAGCTCATACAGGCTTTAAAAACTTTAATTTGCTCTTCAATAAGTTTCTCTCTAAGCCTCCTCCTGTCTTTGGGTGGTAAAGTGTTTATATATTTGGGATTTTGTACTTAAACTTTCTTAGAAGGGTACTCACATATGGATAGCAGGTCATACTGTGTCTGTTTTTGCCACCCAGCCACTCGCGCACAAAGATGAAAAAAGATGTCAACATAACATCAACATCCTTTTTTGTTTTGTTTTTTCTCCGTCAGTTTCATAAGGGGAAACCTGTGTACAAAATACCCTGCAATCAGCATACAAAGGCATGTTGTAACTTTCATTACATCTGCACACTGAGGGTAGGGTATGGTAGGGTAGAGTTGAATGATATTTTGTTGTCTCTCAATAGGAAACATTTAAGTGGTTATAGTTATAGTCCATACAGTCAAAGTAGTATAACTATACGTATTGGGTTTAGCTGCTACTTCAGAGTACTTGTTTGGTTCAATAAGGATGCTAGAGTGAAATAAAGGGTTGTGGTTAACTGTTTGGTATTTGTATCTCTAAAGTCTGAGTAAATGGCCTGTATTTGATATAGCACCTTCTAGAGTCCTGGAACCCCTCAAGGCGCTTTACAACACAATCAGGCATTCACACATTCACACACACATTCACACACTGGTGGGGATGAGCTACGATGTAGCCACAGCGGCCCTGGGGCGCACTGACAGAGGCGAGGCTGCCGAGCACAGGCGCCACCGGTCCCTCCGACCACCACCAGCAGGCAACGTGGGTTAAGTGTCTTGCTCAAGGACACAACGACAGCGACAGACTCGTTAGTAGTTCTCTTAAACTTTTCCCAAAGTCCACTTTAAAGGTTACACCAACAAAACACAGCTACAGCCATAGTGCATTGGTTATAGCAGAAGGTAGTGGTGCTGGAAGGCACTATGGCTAAAGACATAATACATATAAACACCATCCAATCATCGACATAAAAATACTGGACAATTCATTTCCATAGGCTCCAATAACACGTTTTTGAGGCTAAATGGGAGGTGGCCACCACCGCCATTTTGACCGTGTCACAGGTTCTGTCAAGCCCAGACAATTCCACAAAAGGGAAGAGAGGTGGAGCTGAGAGTGGGGCTGTAAGGCTGGGATCAACTGACGACACCCGGTCGAACTAGCTACAAGCTAACCCAAAGCTAACACGGAAGTGGGAGCTAAGCTAAAGGAGGTAGCAACCTAGCTACAACCGGAGTTAACTGTGCACAACACCAGAGTTTCTGAGTCAGAGATACGCCGGGCTGACCGCTGGGTAAAACCGGGTGGAACACAGAGGTCTCCCGAAAGCTGCTGAAAGCCGGCAGCCGCGCAGCAGTCAGGAGCCGCGATCAGACAGAGATGCGCCGAGCTGCGGGGAGGGGAGAAACGGGTGGAAAACATCGGTCTCCCGAGAGCTCCACAAGCCGATAGTCGGAACCCAGCTCCACCAACATGTTATATTTCAACCCATTTTCTAAAGTGCAGCATTATGTTAAATGCACTGGGTTTTACCCTATTACATTTAAATTTCATGGTTAAACAGTACATGTTAACATCTGAGCTCAGCTCAGCAGTGACCTAAAATACATAAATATAATTTTACTTACCGAAAAAAATAAAGTGGAGACTCCATGGACGCTCTGTTAGTGCAATTAATGCCAGAGCAAGTCATTTTGTCCAACAATTGCACAAAAAATATCCTAAAAAGAATACACAAACACAGAGACTCAAAATCCCGGAGCAGTTTCCAGGCCAGACCTGATGCTCATTAATTATACAGAATTTTAGGCTTTTAATACACTTAAACAGAAGAGTGAGAAAAAAATTCACCCCCCTCAGAGTTGTCATGAGTATAAACTAGATCATTTAAACCTAAAACATGTTTTGGTACCAGGCTGTAAACATGTTTATTTCTGCTGTGAAATTGGTATTTTTAACATGGGAGTCAATGAGGATTTGCTCACTTCTGACACCAGCCCCCAGCGGATGAGGGTGGAACTGCAATTGTTGGTACTTCCGGGTTGGCCTCAATTTTTGAGCTGCATTGTGGGGGCTTGCATCCAATTCAATGGCAAGATTATCCAGATTATCTATATGAGACCAAATCAGCACTTCGTCCATCAGTCCAACTTTTGTTGTAAGTTTAGTTCAGTTACAGATCCCAGATGGACCAGGAAGCTTCCTAAGCAGATGCCCAAACCTCCTCAGCTAGTGTCGTTCAATAAGGTGGAACAGCAGCTCTATGCTGAGGTCCCCATGATGTCCGGCTACTCAGTGGTAGAAGCTCATCTCAGCCCTTTGTATCAGTGATCCTTTTCCTATGGTCCAAATTTTATGACCTTAGGTGAGGGCTGGAACGTTTGCAGCCCAGTAAACCTAGAGGTGCGACCCCTGAAAAGTACGTCTTGAAATTGCCAACAACAAAAAGTAGATGAGACCCTCATGTTCTCAAACCAGACAGCTTCCTGTGCATGACTTTGTCTTAAAATTCATGAACATCACAAACTAAAGACCTAGTAGAGTCCAACCCTCACAGGAAACTAGGCAGAATTTGTGATGAGAACATAGTCAGCTCTTGCTAGCAGGAACAAAAAAAGCCTTAAATGGGATTCTGGCACCTCAGAAAAAGTGACCAATTCAACTCCTTCAAATTAATTTCAACAAACCAACGAAAACCACTTTAGAAAAGAAATTAAATAGTCCCAAAATGCAGTTCGACTTCTTCTTTACTCAGGCAGTTATGTCCAGCGATAAATCACCCAAGCAGATGACACTTTTTCTCACTGACACCTCATAGCATGCCTAACGAGGAGATCTCATTATTTCCATCTCAGGGTAAGAAGATTTCAATTTAGACCTAAAATATTTGTGAGCTTGAAGCTAAGATAGAAGCACTATGTATCTAATGAACTTGCAGAAGTGCATCACATCTGAGTGATGCAATGTCAATCAATACAGTATAAGCTACAACACACAAATCATTGCAATAAATACGGGTTATTGCACTAAATAATAATGGTTTTTACTTTGAGTTACTCTCTGTTCTTCTTTTGCCGAGTCTGTTATCAAGTCTTCAGACTCTCTCGCGTTGTCAGACTCGGTGACCATCAAGGAGAGCGCTATAAATCTTTTCTGACTAATGGTGGTTCACGGCTCATTTTTAAAGGGTTTCACTTTCAAAAACACGGCCTCTTCTTCGCAGTTGGAAGAAATGTGAGAAAAGGATGAAGAGCAACAGAACCATTAGTCCCTTACTTGTTGTCTTTCTCTCAGCGGACAAATCAACAAAATTGGATCAAGTCATCATTCTAAAAGTGATTTGACTGGGATGAAACTAGGGTTTCGTTTGGTTCACGGAGGTTGCTGTCAACACAATAACTTTCATTTTATCCTCAATTGGTTCAAGCATGGAAGCAAATAAACAACATAAAAGCTCCAGTGTGTATTGGTCGTGGTCAACTGGTCCATATACCTCCATTTGGATTTTTTTTAAATGTAGTTTTTTAATTTGTTCTTCGACTCTTGTGAGCATCAAATATTAGGTCTATTGTTATTTTTAAAACAGTTTGCCATAGTTCTGTTGCTATAATGTCCTTCTTGTAGGCATTGAAGCAAATTCATAGCACAAATAAGTATTTTCCTAACTCCAAGTGTGCTTCACTTAACATCATTCAATGTGATGGATGGATGGACGGACGGACAGACCAGAGGATGGATTATTGTGTTGGGTTGTCGATTATCATCTTGTTCCTGGGTGCCATTTTTGTGTTTATGTGGTCTGTTAGTGTCACTAACTTAGAGTCAGGTTGAGTTCAACACTGAATCAATGGATGGATGGGTTAACAAACAGATAGATGGATAGATGAATGGATGGCGGATAGATGGATGGATGGAAGGTTGGATGGACAAATGGATAGATGGGTTGATTAACAAACAGATGGACAGATGGATGAATTAGTTGATTAATAAACAGATAGATGGAAGGATGGATGGACGGACAGACGGAATAATGGACAGATGAATGGATGGGTTGATTAACAGATGGATGGATGAATTAGTTGATTAATAAACAGATAGATGGATGGATGAACAAGCGGTTGAACGAACAGACAAATGGATAGATGGATGGGATGATAAACAGATGGACAGAAGGATGGATGGATTTTTACATTTAAAAACCTTCCTTTAGGTTTTTTCAATGATTATAGCTAAAATGTTTTCTTGGAAAATTAATTAGAGTAAAACCCAAATACACTGAGACCCTCTGAGTCATGTGATGTAGTTTAGGTCTCTAGTTATGTAGGATATATTATTACAGTAGTCTCATTCAGGCTTGTGGTGTTTCCGAGAGGTTTTCAATCAATAAAGCCATAAGGTGTTATGGTCCCAAACATAAAATGAAATCACTCCTCATTAGATAATTAAAGTTATCCCTTCATTTATTTTTTAGTTGTTTTTTTTTTCACTCCTGATGGGCCAGAGAAAAAAACTCCTGGTTAAAGTGGAGCCTTGGGGTCTTGATGAATTACAGCATGATGACCAATTACCATACAGCAGAGAGACTGGCTCGTCACATCCGCGTAAAGGGCCACTTCAAATCCGAGCTTCCTTTAAACGGGTTGCTCTTGTTGTGCAGCCTCGGGCCAGAGCGTGACGGGAAAAGAGGCGGCTCTTTTTCTAACATATGCCGAGCGGGGACGTGGTTTTAGTTGGCTAAAAGACCGGCAGGCTCTTCGGGAGCACAATAGCTTCACAAAGGCCCGGTTAATCTGGTCTACCTGCTGTTAACTCGTGGGCTAAATCAGGGAACACAATCACTTCCTGCAGAATTCGCTGAGTCACTCATTAGCGACTCAGCACAACAGAGTGGGTGCTCCAAATTTACCCAATCAACCTACAGATGGGAGCTTTAGAGGCAATGAATGTCTCACTCGTCTTTGAGTGCTGCCTGTTAGGCTGTTGCTGTGTGTTTAAACCAGAACACAAAATCACACGTTAGTGCTTTGTGCCCGATGGAAACATTTACCCATTTCTCATCTAAATTGTTTGAAACTTTGATACAAGTCGCTATGAGGCCAAGAGAGTTTTGTAGCCTGTGTTTCCTCATCTTTTCATCATCCATTAGCTCAAACAGGAAGTAGGAACAAGTCTACCGAATAAAAAGCTCATCAAAGTTGTACATCTGTTCTCTGTGTCTTGGTGAATCCAGCCTACATCGAGGACGTAGCGCGCTGTGTGGACCAGAGCAAGCGTCTCATCATCGTCATGACGCCCAGCTACGTGGTGCGGAGGGGGTGGAGCATCTTTGAGCTGGAGACACGGCTGCGCAACATGCTAGTGACCGGCGAGATCAAAGTCATCCTGATCGAGTGCGCCGAGCTGCGCGGCATCATGAACTACCAGGAGGTGGAGGCCCTCAAACACACCATCAAAATGCTAACGGTCATCAAGTGGCGCGGGCCGTCCAGCAACAAGCTCAACTCCAAGTTCTGGAAGCAGCTGCTCTACGAGATGCCCTTCAAGCGCATGGAGCCCCTGAGCATCTCCCACGAGCAGGTGCTGGACGTCAGCGAGCAGGGCCCCTTCGGCGAGCTCCAGACTGTCTCCGCCATCTCCATGGCCGCTGCCACCTCCACCGCCATGGCGACGGCGCACCCTGACTTGCGTTCCACCTTTCACAACTCTTGCCACACCCAGATGAGGCAGAAACACTATTACCGTAGCTACGACTACGACCTGCCGCCCGGCGGCACGCTCCCGCCGCTCTCGTCTCTAGGCAACCAGCACACCTACTGCAACATCCCCATGACGCTCATCAACGGGCAGCGGCAACAGTCCAAGTCGCCGCGCCAGCAGAGCCTCGAGGAAGCCCACGCCAACAACGCCATGCTGCCGCTGCTTCCCAGAGAAACCAGTATATCCAGCGTCATCTGGTGACAGAGCCAGACGGGGTGGATTCGTACGATGTCTGTCACGTAGAAGACTCGGAACCGGATGGGCGGATGCCTCTGAGATACTTGCTGCTGATAAATTTGCACGAGGAAAACAACGGGAGAACATTGGACTAACAAAAGCCAGAAGAGGTGGGAATAAAAAAATCTTTTGTTTTGGTCCAATAAGAGCTTTTATTAAAACTGAACACTAAAAAATAAACGAGATGAACATTTTTGTATGCCTGTATAAACACTCGCGTAACACAAGCCAACACCTACGATCATTACCTGGAGAGTCGAAGGAATACAGGGTCTTGTACATATGTTTTTCTAATTCTTTGTAGCAACAGTGACTTGTTTCTTCATCAGTTGGGATTTTTATTTCTTTCATTTAAGTTTGTACTAAAGTAAAGCGATGGCCTGTATGATGTGTTGGTAAAACCGTTGTTACCTTTATCCTAATTTGTTGGCTGGTGTCGTTTATAAAGATTTTGGCGGGCTTTTTTAAAAATGTATTTATTTTTTCGGAGGCCACAGCCCTCAGGAAAAAGGGTACAATATCAGGGTTGAGGGTTTCAACTCAACCAGATTATGCAACATTTAAAAGAACAGAGTCGAGTTGGCGGGATGGGTTCCCCCGAATGTTCGAATGCTTTCGGAAAACGGAGAAAAAGGTGCTAGGCTTCACATCTCCTGTTTATCTCATTTTCCTTTTAAAAGAACAGCCTTGCTATTTACATAAACAGATTATATCACTGAAAAGTAATTATGTGTATTATTTTATGAAGAAAGTATATTTTTGTAACTGAGGAATATTTGCTTAGAGAACTTATGGAGTTTCTGATGATAGAAATTAATGGGGTGGGAAAGTATTTAAAAAATGTTGTTTTGTTTAACTGCATAGCTCACAAAAATCAACGAGTCACTCACTAAATGTCCTTCGTCGTAAAATGAAAAGAGGCTTCTGTTTCCATGACTGAATTTAGAAGATTTAACAATCTGAAAGACTTTATAGCAGCTCAGCTGTTTCTGTTTTCTTTTTCTTGTTTTTGTCGATTTCACTGTCGTTTCAGCGACTCACGACCACTTTTAACGGGGATGAAGCTACCGATGATGTCAGCACGGATGGAGGAGAAAGCCGTCGTCATGCGAAGCATTTACCCGGTTTCCTCAACAGGACCAAACAAGGCTGTCCAGGGCTAAAACCGTCATCTCCGTTCCCCATTTCCTCCATTAAGACAGCTTTGTTTTAGTTTGCCATCCCTCTTGAAGTGATTCGTCTGAATTACAGCGAAAGAAAAACAGGGCTTTCTTTATTCTCTTGCAGAAGAACTCATTCAGGCAGAAATGGGTGCTTTGAAGATGCTTTAGAGAGGGTCCAAATCTGTTGGTAAACCAATCTGAGGTGGATTTATGTGGAAATGTGATGAACAATCACTGTATAGTTCTTTAAACAGCCCTCGTTTGGAGAAACTGTTTATATGAGACCAGATTGACAAGCTAACGGCTAATCCTAGCTAGATCAGGATCAAAGTAGATCACTGGCACATCAAAAGAACTATGATCTCAAACGCTTTATAGCAAATTATGATATAACTACTTTATAAACCTTAACACCACCATTAATTTAGCATTATTTGTTTATTCTGGCACATGTAATCCTTCAGGAAATGCCTCAGGCTGCCCAGGAAATCTAACAGCTAGCTACTGCTGCTGCTACTAGCACTTCTTAAAAGCATCATAGATCTATGTGAATACTAAATTAGCACATCTAGTCAGCAAACAATGATTTCTTTAGATACCCACAATATGAAGTAAACAATGATTTCTTTAGATACCCACAATATGAAGTCATGTTTAAAATAAAATTGTGTTAGCCTGAGAAAAGATAATTAGCCTATTTGAAAAAACTAGACATAAATCAGGAAGCCCGGTGATAAATTATGGTAATGGCATAGAAACAAAATTTTTGCAGTATATGTTATAAATTAGGCTATCTAGTCTTGTTCGTGGATCAAAGTTTAACAGTTTCATTAGATATTTTTTAAAAATACGTGCATTTTATTTTTATACCTTTTATAAATACACGTGTGTTAGCATTAGCGTCAGCGCTAGTAATTATAACCTAATGTGACTGTTGATGACATCATGGACGTAAATGTGGCATAAATCACCATCCAGCAGTAAAATTGTGAAATAAGAAACTTATTTCATTAACGCATGCTGTTATGTGATCAGGGTCGCAAACACAGACGCCCTGTGAACTGGTGCTGTGGCCGGCCTCCATCTTGGATGGGTCTCCATTCGCCCCCGGTGCATTTATTTCTACTGAGGAAGGTGCTTACCCAACTAAAAAACACATTTTATCAAGCTTTTTCACAAAATCTGATATGGTATGGCATGACAAAATATAAAGATAATTAAACAAAATAAATAAAAGTTAATTAAAATATTAAATCCCATCAGATAGGCTAGAAAGTCAATAGAAATCCCATGTGATCTGTTTTCAATGGTACGCCGGTTGTTCTGGATTGACTTTAGAGCAGGGATGTGTAAACTTTTCAAGACAAGGGCCAAAAAGTCATGTTTGAAGTCAGTGCGGGCCACAAGAATGTGTGTTTCTTAATAGAAAAAAACTGCAAACATTATTTTATAAAAAAAATTTCATTTGTACTCTTTAAAATAAATCCAAAATAGGCTTATAAGTAAAAATCTGAACACAACTATGTTAGAAATATAAATCAACATCCTATTGGAGAGACAAACATTACCATTCTACAAATTGAAGTGGGGGTCATACAAAATTGCTCAGAAGGCTGGAAATGGCCCCCGAGCAGCACTTTAAACATCCCTGCTTAAGAGAGTGCAGAGACCCATCCAATATGGCGGTAACCGTGTTACGCTTTCCAGTGCCCAGTGGGGTGTCTACGTATTTATGTCTATGGGTGTTTCAATGTCAAGGAGCCTTGCCTTGATCCCGCCTCAGTTGCCTAGGAGATACATCATCAGGAACCGCCAAGGCATGTTCCAATGTTCATGTGCTGCAGAGGCATCTGTTCTCTGTTTGTTAGCCGTTTAGCTAGCTGACCAAGGATACATGGAGGGTGTCTTGTTGCCTTTTCTTGGTCAAAAATTTCCCCGAATACAACGCTGCATTTTCAAAAGGATGACAGATCAGGAGCCAGCAGCAGCTACTTCGGTGGCAAATTTCCAGTTTAAATGTAAGTCAACTAATTGAATTGATATCTAAAATGCTTTTTTAAGATCCAAAGCAGTTGCCTAATTTGGTTAGTTGCTTAGTATTTGCAGCTTCAGTAGCTAGCATGTAGTAACTTGCTCACATATTTAATTTAACCAATATAAACACAATTTAAAAAGTGAAAGGGTCATTATGCATTTATATTTAAATGTATATGTATAAAATATAACTTTACCTCATGTGTCACGTGACGTGACGTGACCGCCACGGGAGCGGCGTAAGCAAAGCACCTGGCCTTCCAAGATAATGTCTGCTATGCGTCTTGACATTGAGTAGCACCCAATGATCAGGGTTTTACTGTGTTACATCAAGTACGGTCCGGGTGGAAACGGTCCCCTAACATTGTTTGTTCTGTCTGTTTTACAGATGGAATATTTCTTTGATCTCTTTACTCTTGGCAGATTAACGCCTTCAAATCTTTCATGGTCTGAAATCACCATATTGTTCAACGTTTTTGGTCCAACTCAGCCCAGCCGTTAGCTTGGGAATCCGGTCCAAAATAAAACGGGGAGGTTTAAATTAGGGATGTCCCGATACAAGTTTTTCACTTCCGATACCGATTTTGCATCCTTCAGTATTGACCGATACCAATATCAATCCGGTACGATATCAGCACAAATCAAACATACTTGTACCTATATTGTAGTGTGGAATGTATGAAAGGCTTGATCAGGTGATATTACTCAATCGTAGAACAAGAGCCAATAACAGTAAGTATGAAAAAATGACAATACTTTTTAACCACTGGTTGTAAAAATGTGAACCTTAATGGACTGCTTATATTGAAGATTTTTGATTCAGTCCGATATAATCCGATAGTGTTTTGGGGCCAATATCGAATTACTTTCGATATCGGAACAGGACATCCCTAGTTTGAAGGTCAGATAATGCTTCATTATTTTCCACTAAAATCCTTTCAAAATTTGCTGAGAAAAGTAATTGAAAAATAACTAGATTAAAATAATTAGAACAACTTTCTAATTATAATTTTTACCTACCGATCATTTAGTGTTCTCTAAAACAACAGCTTGTTTTCCAGAAGTGATATAACTACGTAAGCGTGACAAGCATGTTTATAAACATGCCAATTGAGTTATTTTGTGAGTACTATTGTAATAAAGAAATATGCTAAAGTCAACAACTCTGCCAAATTATTATTTTCTTATCCATGAATCCATGAACATTGGAAGGATTTAATCAGGTGAAAAGCATCCTCACGTCACCTCAGATCTGTGATGGTGGCCGGTCCTAACGCCACCACTAAACTAACATCTCACACCTCTCCTATAGTGCCAGAGATTATGCAAAGTGATGAATTTGTAAACAAAAAACAAAGAATGGGGCTAATTTCCTCTTTTGTTTTTGGAGTTTTTATTTCCAGTTTGAGGCCTGTTTTTGTTTTATTTCATAATTTTTTGGTCAATCAGTAGAATCAGTTGTCATCTCCCTCCGAGAAAAAGTAAAGTTTTGATTCTGCACCTGAACAGAAAGGTCAGATGTGCTCGCAAGTATGGCAGACGTGTAAATAAAATCTAAACTATCTCATAATTGAGATGAAGACAATCGAGCCATGTTCATAAAACGATCCTTGTTCTTGAGACATTTGAAAATATAAACTAGGGCTGCACGATATTAGGAAAGAGAGACTGCGATTTTACGGAGTATTGTGATAATATAAATTGCGATAATTTCACATTTTTTCTTACTTTTACCATCTCTAGCTAGCCTAGAAAGCTAGATCTGTTCTGCAGGTCAGTATTGCCATGTTGCACTGTAGCAGGTCTACCATTGGCCAGAACAAATTTTTGTTTTGCCAATCACAGAATTCTACATTTGTTGTGCGGGTTTAACACTGGAGGTGTGTCAGAAAAACTACAAAGATTGCGTCGACTCGGAAACGACTTTGGCATCAACTTTCAACATGAGATATGAGCATATATTGGTACTCAAGTCCTTTTATTTTGAAAGAGGATGTATTTGCTACTTCTGTAGCAATTAATACGTCAAGTTGTTGCTCTGATTGGTCCTAGCGTTGTCCAATTGCCTGCAGAGACTGTTTAAAAGACAAACGTAGATTCCGCCCCACGACTGGGCGGTTTCAATGGCTCGTGGCCAGTCTATTTACATATATGATGGCTTGCCAGGCTAATCTCTATCACTTAATAACCTAAATGTTGAAGGCAACAGTTCATCTTATTGGCCAAATTCATTTTAATTTTTTGTACGATGCCAACGTCACAATGACACGACGTACCGCTGTATTGTGCAGCCCTAGAATTCACCCTAACTTCGGGAAGAGGTGGAAAACGCTAAAACCGGTTTGCATTTCCTTTGCAGGATGTTAACACTAATATGATAACACTAATGATGAATATTTCTGATGATGTGGCTTTGATTAGAAAGGGGTTTGATGAATATTAATGAGAATATATAGCACAGATTTATTCCAGGCACTTTCACAACTCTGGGGACAAACGTCTCGTTTTTTTCTGATTTGTTTTCTATTATGTATCTGCAATGTTCATTAAAAGAGATACTGTTATTGATAATAAACCACATTCATGGTGTTTTTATTCTCCGGCCTGTGTGTGCTGTTTGGGGGAGTGAGTGTCTGAAAGCCACCCAGCTCACTTTGTTAATGGAACGTCGGCACGGATTGCTGACGATGCTCGGATCTCTTTTCTTGGCGGAAGGCCGACGCGACTGCCATAACTCACCCGTCTCCCGTAAAACCTTGGGAAAACAATCAATAATTCTCCTTATTCCACTTAAGAATCAGCCCATTTTAGGAATGAGCCACATTGGATGTTGGTTGACCTCCACATCAGAAACAGATTCATTTATTATGGACACGTTGCATCACTTATGGGTACTTCATACTTTATGTGGTTGAAAATAATTTTTTGTCTGAAAGCAAACCGAATCCGTCTCCCTTCGCTGTGCTTTGATGCAAATAAACGTTGTTTTTTTTCTTATCCGCCTCAGAGTGTTGTGCCCATAATTTAGCCATTTACTCATTTTGCTGCGATCAAAGAAACAACGAAGAGATCAGAGAAAACGGGCAGGAGCAGCCTCAGAAGTCTCAGCCAAATATACCGGACACAAGCTAGTTAGCTTTGGATGAAATTTTATCATTTGATGGCTAGATTTAATGCCTCCCACTATCTTGTTGCTGTCCCCGACCAGCACAGCCTTGCCGAAAAGTTCTACATAATGCAACACACCTTGCTCAGCTGATTGTGCTAATTAGTGCTCGTTTGATCAATGTTAATTAGCGAGGATGCACTGTGCTCTACATCAATGAGTCTTACTCCTACCTGGACAGGGAGGCTTCTAAAAAGGAAGGTTTGTATTCTGGATGATGACAATTAATTGTGATGTTTCCTGCATCCATTGGTAGGTTGTTTTTGCAGAATATTGATAAAAATCGTACTTTTTTTCTATTTTGGGGGCATTTTAGAGAGTATGAGTTTCTATTTAAAATGATGCTGTGGAAGACAACGCAACACTAACTGGGTCCTTGGATCTGACCAGATGGAGAATATATTGATTTATTTTTTTGAGGCATCTTTCCAAGTCTTGTGTACTTGGGCAAATTCTAAAACTTTACAACTGGAGCAGTGTAGTTTTTTTGCCTTTATCTTTATTTTTGACATTTGGTGAAGCCAAATCTTTCCACGCTCTAAGGTGTGGAAACCCTAGTAGTTTCAAACAAGGTAGCTGGACTTCTGAAGCTGCTGGAAGGAGCTTCCACAATTGAAACAACAAAAAGAGGAGCGTACCAATTCAGCTCGCATGCCTAGGCGGGCCCCATATGAATACATATGGGCAAACCATATGGGTGCCAACAGGGTTTGTCTGCAGCTTCCGTAGTGGCCCCACAAGGATTAATGGGCCCATGTATGAGTCAAACCATCTGAAAACCCATGTAGGGCCCATTAAAAACCATGTGGGCAAAACAATTGGTGGGAAAACCCCTGGCCAGGGAACGCCTTGGGATTCCCCAGAGGAACTGGCCCAAGTGGCTGGGGAGAGGGAAGTCTGGGCCTCTCGCCTCAGGCTACTGCCCCCGCGATCCGACTCCAGATAAGTGGATGAAAATGGATGGATGGATGGCTTTAGTATTGTTCTCTAGCCTCAACTGACCATTAAATATCTAAAAAATGCTGATGAAATTGTGCAAAAACATGAAATGTTGCAGTTGAAACTGAGAACATCTTGTCCAGAGAGGAAACTTGGGCTTGAGGGGAAACTCAAAGGGAAATGCTGCCATCTGCTGGATGGCTTTTACCTTGCACCCTTGCAAGGCTTGCTGGGAAGAAAGCACACACTGAAACATTTTCTTTTACCATTTGGTCTGGTAAACATGAAACATTTGAGTCATGATTTTATGTGCTCCAGTCCCGATTTGAAAGGCACCCAATGGCACATTTCCCCTGCTGTATCATCCTTGTATTTAAAGATTTAACTCTTTCCATATTAGCAGGTTTTAAATCTTTGTTTCCAGATGGAGACAAAATGTTGCAAAGACTTCTGGGTAAAAACAGAAAGTTCTGGAGTTTCTCCACATTAACTGTATCAGTTTCATCTTGGTGGAAAATCAAACCCGGTAAACATCTGAATCATTGTTTACTTTTGATTCATGCTTGAAGTGACAAAGTTACTTAAACCAGATAAGTTAGCTAAACAACCTAACCTTGTGGCTAGCTCCTGTTGATGTTATAAAGGATGTTTAGTAGAAACCATCGCCATGGCACTGGCAGCATTGGTTTCTGAACTGAAGCCCATCACCGTCCATCTTGGCCACGTCTCGTCACTCCTGGAAAAAACAAAAATGGAGGTAAGGACGGGGTTGTGAGGGTGGGGGCAAACGATTGACACTCAAAACAATGTAGTTGCGTAACACTTTTAACTTGAGACCAAGGCTGAGGCCTTTCATGGAGAAGCAGGCTAGCGCTGATGGTTCATCTGATGCCTGTCAATCAAAATGACATGTCCCTAATAATTCATAATTTCCAGCTTTACTTGCATCTAAACGGAGAAGATACAAAAAAGTTCTATTAGCCTAAAACGTTTTTGTACCAGGCTGTAAACATGTTTATTTCTGCTGTGAAGTTGGCATTTTTAACATGGGAGACGATGGGAACTAGCTCTGTTTCTAGTGGATGACGAGGGAGGATGCGCCCCAGCTGCCCTCTGTAGATCCGCCCCTGAATGGTTGGTGAAATAGCATCAGGTCAGGTTTGTTTAGTGTACATGTGGTTTCTCAGGTTTTTGTTTAGAATCAACCACATGGACATGTGTAGAATTTTTACACAACAAAAAGGTTTTGGTTCAGTTTGTAACGTGACAAAGTGGAATGTGAATCATTTCCAGATGCACTGGTCCTTCGAAGCTGGATGTGCAGAAACGAGTTGCTTTTTCAGGTCAAGATGCAAATATTTTTGATTTTGTTTGTGATTTGCTACGGAGCAGCCATGAGGAGGTCTCTGCTGTCATCCTCCCTCCTGTGTAACAGACTGGGCTGCTGCGTCTCTACTGTGTTGAAGTCCTCCAGAACCAGAACCAGCAGCTGTGTCCAGATGTTGTGTATCAGGTAGAGCCACTCTCATGCTGGGAGGCTGAACACACAGAACATATTCCACATGAAATTCCAGCATGCACAGAACTCCGGTTGTCAGGAAGGTTTAAAAGCTTCTCTGCCCTTCAGTGTCCTCGCTGCCTTCAGTTTTGTTCTTTTTACGGATTTCTGCTTCTAAATTTCACTCGATAAGGAAATGAAAAAGTGGAGTCAGATTCAGAGTCAGTATCGTTTCATGTATAGTTTAATTAAAAGTGTTGGTGTGCACTTTGGACAGTAAGAGACATTATGCCATTTCATCAGATGATCACATAAATTACTAATTATTTTAGTTTAGACTTTTGTAATGTTGTCATTTGTCTTCAGATTGAATCTCGAATCTCTTCTACGTTCCAGCATCCACCATCAAGGCCATTAACAGATTTTCATTGTGGACCTGACCCTTTTAACTGGAGGCTGAAATGCTTGGTAAAACCTATTTTATTCCTTTTACTGGATGAACCGACAAACATTTGAACTTTTCATCGTTTCTTTTCTCTAGGAAAAGATGGTGCACACGCAACGCTCGTAAGAAGTACTGGTACCCCGAGAGTCCATGCATAAAATGTTATACAAGTTTAAACTGGATCATTTTTAGGGTTCCCCTTTGGCATGACAGTAGAGGGCTTCTGGGGGAGCCCATCACACTTTTGGGGGAGCCGGGCTCCCCTTTTGCTCCCCCCGTAATTCGAATCCTGATCTATCATTGTGTTGAAGGACTAAAAATCACCAAGTTTCCCTACAGGTAAGTTGCAGTGAACACTCAGTGAGTCATGACAGATTGGTGCTCATACTGAGCCACTTTCTATTGGTTTCTTCTTGTTAAAGGGGAGTTTTCCTCTCCACTGTTGCTGCATGCTTGCTTAGAATGGAGATGGCTGTAAAGTCACTGAAAAAAACAAAAATGATATAAATCGCCTGTGTTCTAGGGTTCTTTGTGGAAGCCATACAGAAACCGGACCGCATCCGTTCCGCATTCAGTGTGAAACAGGCATTAGTTGTATGCTTTTGCATGGGCGCCATCTAGTTGGCACCAAGTGGTTTCCACTGTTTAGTCCCTAATGTGTGTGTAGTCTTACAATCAAAGCTGTAAAGTACAAATACTTTGCTACCTAGAAATTGTGGGTATCTACAGGTCCTTCTCAAAAAGTTTGCATATTATGATTAAGTTCATTATTGTCTGTAATGAACTGATAAACATTACACTTTCATATATATTAGATTCATTACACACAACTGAAGTAGTTCAAGCCTTTTATTGTTTCTAATATTGATGATTCTGGCATACAGCTCATGAAAACCCAAAATTCCTATCTCAAAAAATTAGCATATTTCATCCAACCAATATAAGATCCGGACCCGGATAAGCGGAGGAAGACGAAGACGAAGACAAAGAAGTCAACCTTCAAATAATTATGTTGAGTTAAGCACTCAATATTAGGTCGGGAATCCTTTCGCAGAAGTGACTGCTTCAATGCGGCGTGGCATGGAGGCAATCAGCCTGTGGCACTGCTGAGGTGTTATGGGGGCCATGGATGCTTCAATAGCGGCCTTAAGCTCATCCAGAGTGTTGGGTCTTGCTTCTCTCAACTTTCTCTTCACAATATCCCACAGATTCTCTATGGGGTTTAGGTCAGGAGAGTTGGCAGACCAGTTGAGCACAATAATACCATGGTCAGTAAACCATTCACCAGTGGTTTTGGCACTGTGAGCAGGTGCCAGGTCGTGCTGAAAAATGAAATCTTCATCTACATAAAGCTTTTCAGCAGATGGAAGCATGAAGTGCTCCAAAATCTCCTGATTGCTAGCTGCATTGACCCTGCCCTTGATAAAACACAGTGGACCAACACCAGCAGCTGACATGGCACCCCAGACCATCAGTGACTGTGGGTACTTGACACTGGACTTCAGGCATTTTGGCATTTCCCTCTGCCCAGTCTCCCTCCAGACTCTGGCACCTTGATTTCTGAATGACATGCAAAATTTGCTTTTATCCGAAAAAAGTACTTTGGACCACTGAGCAACAGTCCAGTGCTGCTTCTCTGTAGCCCAGGTCAGGCGCTTCTGCCGTTGTTTCTGGTTCAAAAGTGGCATGACCTGGGGAATGCGGCACCTGTAGCCCATTTCCTGCAGATGCCTGTACACGGTGGCTCTGGATGTTTCTACTCCAGACTCAGTCCACTGCTTCTGCAGGTCCCCCAAGGTCTGGAATCGGTCCTTCTCCACAATCTTCCTCAGGGTCCGGTCACCTCTTCTCATTGTGCAGCGTTTTCTGCCACACTTTTTCCTTCCCACTGAGGTGCCTTGATACAGCACTCTGGGAACAGCCTATTCGTTCAGAAATGTCTTTGCGTCTTACCCTCTTGCTTGAGGGTGTCAATGATGGCCTTCTGGACAGCAGTCAGGTCGGCAGTCTTACCCATGATTGCGGTTTTGAGTAATAAGCCAGGCTGGGAGTTTTTAAAAGCCTCAGGAATCTTTTGCAGGTGTTTAGAGTTAATTAGTTGATTCAGATGATTAGGTTAATAGCTCGTTTAGAGAACCTTTTCATGATATGCTAATTTTCTGAGATAGGAATTTTGGGTTTTCATGAGCTGTATGCCAAAATCATCAATATTAGAAACAATAAAAGGCTTGAACTACTTTAGTTGTGTGTAATGCATCTAATACATATGAAAGTCTGTTTATCAGTACATTACATAAAATAATGAACTATCACAATATGCTAATTTTTTTAGAAGGACCTGTGTACTTTGCTTGAGTAATTATCTATTAGCTGAATTTTCCTGACTTTGTAAAAATCATTTGGTTTCTCATATTTTTTTGTTAAAAAACACAAAAATCTATCCAAAGAAACTGCCATCTAGATGAAGTGAACTTGATTGCGGTTGGATATACCACATATGGTATTTGCATTGCACTAAAATGTCATGTTTTATTTAACATTATTGTCATTATGTCTTTTAGTAATAATTTAGTTATTTTGGGGAGGTGTGGTGGCACTGAGGCAAAGCCTATACTTTTGTCCTTGATGGCGTTTTTAAAAACGTCTTGCCTCTATGTTAAAACTGGAATGGATTGTGTTTTTCTGGAGCATGTTTTGCCTTATTGCTTGAAATGATCTTCACATACTGATAGCAGCCAATAAGTTAAATATTTAGTCAATAACAAGAACGCTTCTGAAATGTACAATCCCGGAAAAACCTTGTTCAATCCTTGTGAATGTCCCATTTTTAATGATTGGATCATGGTCTATCCATTAAACTGCCATCTGTACATATCCCACATACCGATGTGCATGAAGTGCAAGTTCTTGGCTGGGAGCAGCTAAACAGGAAGTGAAGCCAGAGCCGGGCTGCATAGTGTTGTTTTAGAGTCAGATTCTGCTACTATTTTGGGGAACGGTTTTCCCAGACTGATCATGATTTTGAAGTGAAGAATACACCACAAAAGCTAAAAACTGCAGCACAATAGTTAGCATACTATTGTTATATAGTTGCATAGGTACTTTACATTAGTGATTATGGTGGAAAATGTAATACCGAATCCTCTGGAAAAAGTATTAAGCTTGTTTCACACCTAACGCAGAAGTGAGGTGGTCCGGTTTCCGACACTGGATCCATTTTGCACAAACGTGTCTCACTTCCTGTCTGGTTCATTTAATTTCTCTAACTTCCTAACAATCTGCATGTGGCGTCCATAAAATACCCCAAGCAGAAAAAACGTTTGGATATCCGAGTTCGAAACGAATCACAGCCGCCTGTTAGTGCACCCCAGAGCTGCTGTGGCTACATTTTAGCTCATTCCCACCAGCATGTGAATCGGTGAATGACTATTGTGTTGTAAAGCACCTTGGGGGGGTTCCAGGATTCTAGAACATGCTATATCAAATACAGCCCATTTAAATAGGGAGCCTAAGTCACGCCCATCTACTTCCGAACCATGGGTCCTTGGAAGAACGAAAAAAGGAATGCAAGTCAACAGGGCTAAAAACGTTATTTTCTAATTCCGTTTTTGTGCCATGGATTTCACATTATGATGTCCATGAAATTTAAAAACACATTTTTGATGCCAAGAACGTGCTTATTTTCAAATGGGGGATTGTCATTTTAGATTTTACGTGAAAATACGTCTAGAACTACAAATATACATCACTAAAGTGACGTCATTGAACCAGACACAGAGGGGAGCAGAGGAAAAATGGCTACAAGTTCAGTAAACTTCAAATCTTTCCTTCAGGAGCAAAGAACCTTAAGTCCTGGTTAGGGTTAGGTGGTGAGTAGCAGCTACGCTAGGGGAGAGGAAATTCTCTGGCGACGTCATATTTGCGACGTACCAACATCTGATTTCTAGTCACGTTAATAACGAACAATTACAAGCTGATAAATCTCAAAGTACATGTCTGGCGTGGTTGAAACACACATCGTTACCTTTCATTTAAACTGAGGTAGAACAGATGTGTGATCCAGGACTTATGGCAAAGCAGACTAGAAAATAAAGCTCTTTTAGCCTCGTTGACTGCATTCATTTTTTTCGTTCGGAAACCAGCCCTCATCCTGTTAGTGTGACGCAGGCTTTGCGTCTTTCTGTATCCTGGAGGCGTGGCCTGTGGGAGGAGCCTGATCAAAGGGGGTTGGACATATTGTGTAGCTTGTTGGAATGTAGTTTAGAAACCCAATTTTTTTTTACTGGAATTGATACTTCCACTTCTCCAGGCTTTTAAACCCTGTACATGTACTTCTACTTGAGTAATTACTGAATACTTGTAAGACCTCCACTTACAATAGATGTACCACAGACCAGACAGACAGATGACTTTGCACTGAAAGAAGGAAGACGATGCATTTTACTTTAAACACATAAAAGGAAATATATTTTCTTTAAAAAGGAATTAACACAAAAGAACAACATTTTTTCTGAAGAGCTGCTTTTTGTTGTTGCAGAGGTAATTTACACAGGACAATAAAATAAAAGACTTTACTCCAAGTGGCAACACCAGCTGCTGCACCACAGTTTGAACTCTACTTTCAGGGTGAGCGTTACTTTTCTGATTCCTTCTAACTGCAGGTGGGAGAAGCTTTGCCACTTGCTGTAAAGCATGAGAAGATTATGTCACATACTGAGCTTCTTTTAGGGGTTAATATACACTGGCTCCTGGTATTTCACTCGTATGACACCATTGAAACATTTATACACAACATTTGTTATTTTCTCGCCCCGAAACAAGAATACGTTTGATTTTTTTTGTGTGTTTTGCTTAAAGACAACGGTTATCAGTTCTGGATCGGTGGCTGTAGAGTTGGATTCATCCCTCCAACACGACGCTTCCACACAAGCATGGCTCACGGTCAGGCGGGTAGAGAGGTGTCGTGGCGGTGTGCATAGGTGTTACAGACGTCGTCCCCCCCCTCCCCGAGGCTCTGAAAAGGCAGTCCTTTTTAAAAATGTTTCTGGTCAGCTGTCAGTTCAGGAGCCGAGTCCGTGCTTTATCATCGCTGATTGTATCTCAGAAAGGTTCCAGTACCCGCCGATGTGCGAGGGAGGGGTGAAATCAAAGCCATGTTGGGAGGGGGTTGTTGTGTTTTCTTCGTCGCTGTCCGTCTTGTGCAAACTGAGATGTAAACAGAGACCACCAGTGGTTGTAAGGGGAGGAATGTAGTGTGCTCCTTCAACAAGCTGAAAGGCACGAAGGGCCGGGGGAGTAAATAAAGAACGGGGCCAGGGGGGCGGAGAAACCGCTTTACTGTGCTTTTCTTTTGTCCCTTCGCTCTGACCTGCACTGAGAGCTGAGGGTGTGCCTCAAAGTTCGGCCTGTTGGTCACAGGGGCTGGGGAGACTGGGCGGGGCTGTTGGAGGACACAAAGTACCACGAGAAGTGCCTTTTTTAAGGCCAACACACACATCGCGCACACACAGGCAACCACGTAAGACTGGTTTATGGTCATGCTTGCTATTGCCTTTCTGTTAGATCATCCATCAATTACAAAAGAAAAATTACAAAATATCTACCACACTGCCCTGCCTCTCCCCACCCTTCTGCTATCAGAGGACAGAACTATAGTCGTGTACTTTTTTATCATTTATATATACATGTGTATGTATATATGTACACAACAATATGCCTTTGAGGCGATTGGGAAAAGGGGGAGGCAGGATGGAGTCATTCCATGAGTCATTAATCTTTTATTTCCCTCTTTTACAAGATTTTTCTACAGAAATGTTGACTAATGTGAGTCAAACTGTTGAGTGGAGCGATGGGATGTTAAAGGAGGGGAGGTCTATGGCGTCGTGTCAGTAGACCCAGGAGACAGGAACCCATTGAGCGGTGGTGGACACCAGGTCCACGGCTTCTTCTAGCAGGCGAATGGTGTCGTCGATCTCGTTGTTGATGATGGTTTGGTCGAAGTAGTGAGCGTAGGTCTGCTGTAGCATCTCAGACTCCTTCTGGAGCCGCTGGAGAGAGTCGTCCTGGGAACAACAGGACGAAAAGATGTGTTGTAGCTTTTGTCTCTGCTGTGAGGAAAGGGGGAGGCTAACAGGGTTGGGACTATAGCCTGATTTCTACTTCTCCGTCTACGTGGGTACGAAGACACACAAGGACTTTGCAGCAGGCCCGCACAGGGTGACAGAGACATGCCCAAGGTTTAACCTATCCCTCAAAGGTGAGGAAGATTGCCATTGTACCCTAAAAAAAATATTAAATAGAATGAGTGCGACAGATATGGAGCAGATTGAAAAACCGTCTCGCGGGAACAAGTCGACGATATAAACCTCAATACACCCATGATGGAAGGAGTACAAAGATACACAGCTAACGTTTTATTTGTGGACAGAAACGTCAGAAAAATGAAGGTTTAGAGGTGGCGACCACATGGAGAGGGGAAAAAGGGACGCATTTGTTCGTGTTAAAAGTTTCTGAAGTACATAAATGTAATGTAAATACACCATCGTGGACCGGAGACTTGACTGCAATGGTGGCTGGGTACCCCCCAAAAAGTGCTACTCTCTAATGTCCTGGCGGGGAATTGCTTTGCAACACTCCCCAGGCGACGGAGAAGCCCGAAGGGAAAACGTGTGCGCGACTCCCAACCTGAGAAGTAGAAATCAGGCTCATCTAGCGTCTAGTAACACAAACACAAAGGGCCAGATGTGCTAAACTTCCATACTCACGGGTAGTTTCCTGCACCACTTGGGAATCTTGGGTGCAAACAAAAATAGGCATGCCAAAGAAAATACAAACATGCTTAAAGCTAACAGGTCATTTGCAACAAGACAACCCTAAACGTGTAGAAATCATAACCCCGTCCCAAGACAAGGTTCATGCATCAGACAGGTTATGTCTACTGTCCACATGTGGACAGAATCAGAGTACGCTGGTGTAGCTGTGGTCGTACCTCAGTCATTCCAGGGGTGATGGTGGGAGCGGCAATGAAGACAACATAGGGAGCGAACTCTGCTGTCCTGAGGATCTTTAGTGCCTGATGAAGACAGACATTTATGTTCGTTTTATCCAAAATCAAAGGTAGAATAAATGATAAAGAGTGCACGATGTTACGCTTAAGTTTGGAAATTGCAACGTACGTGAGATGGTCACATTGCAGGTCGCTGCTGTGATGTTTGAGGCAACTTATCTAATGTTAAGAGTACCTGACACGCAGCCATCCCCCAATCACAATTGTTCTTATGTCAGTTGCGGAAGCTGACCACGATGGGTTGGGTTTTAGCCCCAAACCCTGGTAATGAAGTATCTTTTCTACTGAAGTTACAACAAAACGAACGTTTTCTGTGTTTATGTAAAGTGAGTTGATCCGTTTATCACCACGTGTAGGCTAAGCTAGGAGCTAACTAACTGGTTAATGACTGGTCTGAACTACTCGTTTAGTTTAGATTATATCGTTCACACTTTGGCTAATTAAACAAAGTATTAAATTAATTGTGGGTGATGTGAAAGAAAAGGTTATAGGCCAACATTTTCATAAAAGTATGAAATTGTTCTTATTTTCTGAAAGAAACGAACTTGTTACTTTAGGCTAAAGGTGATATTTTATTACACAAATGTAAAGGTTAAAGAAAGGAGCTCTGTTCAAACCGTAAGTAATGTTATTAATGAGAATGCAAACTAAATTGTGTCTGCTGAAGCAAGCCCATCCAAACAATAAACAGTAGAACATCTGGGTTTTAAATAAATAAAGTGTACTGATCATTTCGAAGGTCCAGTTTGCTTATTTTGATTTATATTTTGTCTCAAAGATGAATTAAGTTAAACTTTATTGATCCCAATGGAAAATGAATGTCTGACAGCTCTCCCAGAACTTGTATATTTGAAATCCTGATGGCTGCAGAAATGATGAATGTGCTGATCTTTCCATCCTACATCGGACTGACGAGCCACGTACCACCACCATGTATGTAACGCTTCACCAGCTGTTAAATGACTTTGTTGCTTTAATAAAATTTCATTTCTAACTTCTAATAACATTTTACACATGTAACATGATTTAAAGGCACATTTTAAATCCTCCGCAGCAATTAAACACTCATCCTTTAGAGGGCACTGTCTCAAAAACAATACAGGCATGAATCTGCGGCCTCTGGCCACACACTACTGAACGTCCTGTATTTGTGTGTGTGTGTGTGTGAGTGAGAGAGAGAGAGAGAGAGAGAGAGAGAGAGAGAGAGAGAGAGAGAGAGAGAGAGAGATTATGTTTATCCCTGGTTAGAAGCTTGTTAACACGTATGATTCTTTGCTGGGTTGGTTTAGATGTGGTATTTTATTCTTCATCTCAAACGTCAGCAGACAGACATTTGAGGAGGAGTGGAAAAAGCAATGGAGGTGTGAACAACAGATGGTGAAATCCAGGACATGCTACTGAGAAATATCGTCTCAGCAGCCCAGACACTGAAGTCCCAACTTCGATGCGTTTGAAGCAGACAGAGATGGGGCTTCTGACGGCTGGTATCAACAATGTGACATGCACATTAGAATATTATCTTTTATAGAAAAGCACATACTGTTGTTACCTGCGGCTCTACATCTAGGATTGCGATCATGCCCTGGACGTGGATCTGCCTGATGGTCTCCAACCTGGTTCCGTACATGGCGTCCTCGTGGCTGCCGTACTCCAGGTAGTCGTTGTTGCTGATGTCCTGCATCATCTGGTCATGAGACACAAAGTAATAGTTCTTCCCATTCTCCTCATCTTTTTTAGGAGGCCGAGTTGTGTCTGGGTGGAGAGATGAACAACAGCGAGAGTGAATTATCATGTTTTTCTAGAGACGATGAGAAGTCGCAATCAAAACGTAGGCGTGCTTACGAGGAATAGGATAGGCGAAGCGATCCGGATGTTTAGCAATGAGTGTGTTCTTGATGTGCCTCCTACCAACTCCATGTGCACCTGAAGAAACAGAGACCACAGAGAGAACCATAAACAAGTAACAAAACACCACTTATTTAGTTATATTCCGCTTCTAAGAGGGCTTGATCAGATTTCTTTACACAGTGGCTGCTCTTCGACTTGCTTTCCATCCAGTCCTCAGACCTGATCATGAAGCGTAAGCGGTTTCCTCTAGACGACATTCAGGAGATTTCTAGAAAGGGGGAAGGTGACGGGGGGAATAGGCTGGCTCGGTCCTTAGGCGTTACATCCTCTCCATGTGAAATCGACCCTTTCAGGACTTTGCAAAGAGTCGTCAGCATCGTGACATTTTACTGTGCATGATGTCACTGATAAGCGCCCAAAGTTGCCTGCAGCGGCAGAGCATCAACAATGAAGAAGGGATGGCCGCTGCCTCTCGGTTAGCTATGTTGTTGGACACAGTAGCGATGAATAAAGGCTTCCCTTATTTTCTGTTCCTTCCATTCTGCTTCACCAGCAGCTCTTCTAGTTTGACAAATGCCAGTTGTTTGGCGATGTCTGCCGATATAATTTCCCACTGAGTAACCAGAAGTCCCATTTCTGAGTACATACCCCAGTGCAGGTACATGTTTGTTCCTGAAAAATCCTGGAAACCTGTCCTTTTGGGCCAGCATGGACCCTGCTACAGTGGTCTCAAAGGGGCAAAGGTCTTTTGGCAACTCTTTTGCAGCAGAACCTGCAGAGGAACATAAAGGAGTTCCTCTAGTGGAGAGAGAGCTCTTTCTACTGGAACAGCTCTTCTTAGGGTCTCTAATGACCTTCTGACTCACAGTGATGCAGGGGACTGTTCTGTTCTGGTCCTGCTGTACCTGACTGCAGCCTTTGACACTGTTGACCATCACCTGCTACTGGAGAGGCTGAGAGACTGGATAGGCCTATCAGGAACTGCTCTGGAGTGGTTCTCCTCTTATCTTTCTGAGCGCTCCTTTTCTGTGGCCGTCTCCAAGTTTAGGTCCTCCACCACCTCCCTTACCCATGGTGTGCCACAAGGTTCTGTGCAGGGGCCCCTACTCTTCCTCCTCTACCTGCTTCCTCTTAAGCACATTCTGAGCTCCTTTAAAGGGAATCTCCTACCATCTTTATGCAGATGACATCCAACTGTACATCTCCTCTAACCCCGGGTTTCCACGGGAGCCGTCAGCAGCACGTTACTGCAGCAGCACGTCTAGCTGCTGCTTGGCCCTTCCCACGAGACGCGACGCAGCAGAGGAGCAGCTGTCACCGACAGGGCACGAAGTCACACGAGTGACTTCGTCAGTAAACACAACAACAAGCAGGAGAAAACTACAACATGGCTCCAAAATGTTTGTGTTTTTATATTCTGTCCGTTTTATAATCGCCAATACGGACCTGAAAAACAAAGGAGACCGCTAGCTAGGTGATAACTTCTCACGGGGCCGCACAGTTAGTAACCTTTTTTAAAGTAAAGCGACCGGAAGGCAGTACGTTCTTTATTCTGAAAATCTCAGGAGCTTCTCTCCATTTCCGCGTCCGATTTCCTGTCTTTCCTTCCCCAAAAATGTCGAACTTGACCCGTTTCAGAGGCGTCGCTCGTAGAAAATAGAACCGGCGCGTAAAGGCCGCGACATGCTGCTCCTGAGACGCGGCCGACTCGCGCTGCTGACGGCTCCAGTGGAAAAGGTTCTGTTGACCACAGCCGTTCCTATCAGCAGCTATGACGTGCTGCTGCAGTAACGTGCTGCTGACGACTCCTGTGGAAAGCCGGGGTAAGCTCCATAAGATGTCTAAGCTGCAGCTGCTACACACCTGCTTAGACTCTCAAAACTCAGTTAGCCGGGAGCTTTCTACAGCTGAATGAAGATTAGACTGAGATCCTCATCTGCGCCCCAGACAAGCTGGTTCCCAAAGTCAGTTCTCTCATTTGCTCTTCCTTCTTCCATCTCAGGAACATTGCTAAACTGAGTCCCATTCTGTCCTCCACACCATCATCTCCTCACACTTAAGACTACTGCAACTTTCTACTCCCCTGCTCCCCGCTTCTCCTCCAACTTCAGTGGCAGCCAGTCAACTTCAGAGTTCATTTCAAGATCCTGGTTCTGGTCTTTAGAGCCTTACATGGACAAGCACCATCTTACATTGGTGATCTTCTCAGTCCCTACACCCCCAGCAGGTCCCTGAGGTCCAGTGACCAAATCCTACTGGTTGTGCAGCGCACCAGGCTAAAGACCAAAAGTGACAGATCATCTGCTGCTGTGGCCCCCAGACTCTGGACCTCTCTCCCCCTGAGCCTGAGATCAATGGACTCAATGGTCTCCTTTAAAAAGCAGCTGAAAACTCACCTGTTCAGGCTTTGGTGTGACTTTTGTCACCACCCTCTCCTTATTCTGCTCTTATTCCACCTTTCCCGGGATCCACTGATTTCTCTCTCCCTTTATTATTTTTTAATCACTTTTTTTTCTTTTTAACATCTTTTTATACAGTTTTTTTATTTAACCAAATTTGTTTTCTTCCTGTTTGATCCAAGTTTATCTATTTAGAGATAACAACTTACCCAGCAAAACTAGTGTTTTCCTCTTGAATGAGGGCAGTTTGACCACTTCTTCATACGTCACCAAGTCTAGTTGGTCAAACACTGAACAACAGAGGAGAAGCTTTAGAACATGACCGATGAGAACCACCAAGGTGCATCTACAGGTGGATCTAAATGATCTGGAACTCTTTAGGGCAGGTGTGAAACTAAAACTTAACCGTGTTTCTGAATTCATGCAGTCAAACTCAACACAAATAAGATGGGTCAGATATGACAGAGTGTAGAGAAAGTAGGATTAACTGCACTGGTTTTGCTTGAGAAATTAGCCAATGAATTGATTTTGGGAGTAACATCGTGGAAAACCTGGTCAGATTGAACACCAGAATCAATCTGAATCACATTGCTGTGAACAACCCAGACCAGAGCAGCTCATTCCAATGAAAACACCAGGAGATAAAGGGGAAAATAAAGGATACCAGCTTTCGTCAGTTACTTACATGCAGCCATGTCATTGGGTAAGAGACAGCATGAAATATGGACAGAGGGTGGGAGCGGAAGGGTTATTACAGACCATAATTCAACTTAAGACTGTCAACAACAAACGTTAGTAGCTGAAACATCAGACAGTAAATAGAAAAAGGCCTCAGAGGGAGAAACATGCAACACTAACAGGTGCAGCAATGTGATTATACCATGTTCACTAAACAGTAAAGGTCTCGGGGCTTTAAGCCCTCACATTTAAATCAAAACAACACCTGAGGTCCTTCTGTGCTAGTAGACATCGTGGTTGAACAGTGACGTACCTGCGTTGTGCTTGGCCAGGTATTTGTCTTTGTATTGTTTCTTCTTTTTGCCAAACCAAGTACAACTGGCCTGCTGTTCCTGTTTGGTCTTCTCCATGGCTATACACGCCACACGCCTGCACACACCAGCACATAGTGGCAGCTTTACAACGATGAGAGGTGGTTCAGTCGCTACAACACTGCTCCTCTCCTTCCTTCAGGGAACAGTAGATCTATGCATAACTTAACGTGGCTCTGGTCATCCAATGTGATCCATCGGAAAGCGGCGATATTTCTAATTTCCCTGCAAGTTGTTTAGGTTTCATAATGTTTACACAAACCTTTTTTACTGGGATTATTTAGGCTTAGAGGGGGATGGTCAGTGACCCTCTGGTCGGGCTGAACTACTTTAGGAAACGCCTGAACTGTGTTTTCTATTCGATTCACAGATTACAGAAAATGACATCACTCCCTTAAAACATTAACTTTAATCACACAAGGACAAAAACGGCTTTCAAATGTATTTAAGAAGAAGAAATGGGCTCTGTGTGGCACTGATCAGATCTGCAGATGTTTTTTTGACAGAGATTGGCTGATTTTTCATCGGCAGCCGAAGCCACGCTTTAGAGCGCCTCTGCTAATGTTTTCATGATTGCGCGGTAACGCAAAAACTTCTGGCAGTGTCTTTTTCAGAGAGAGAGAGAGAGAGAGAGAGAGAGAGAGAGAGAGACAGTAGGTGATAGAGAGAGAGAGCGTGAAACAGTAGGTGAGAGAGAGAGAGAGAGAGAGAGAGAGAGAGAGAGAGAGAGAGAGAGAGCAGGTTCAGGCAGATTTCTAAAGCTCGGCACTTAAGTTAACTTGTGAGTTTAACTTCTTTTAAAGCTGGTTTCTCAGAGCGGAGCGTAAACTAGGCTTTATATCAGTTTTAGTGAGAACAAACCAACAGCCTGCCTTGCTCATGCAGGACAGCGGTGTGCATTTTTGGAGTAGAACAAGAACACGTTTTTATAAAACACAAGCAGCTTTACAAGCACATTAGAAAATAAAGATATAAATATAATATGGGAAAAAATATTAATAGCTTTAACAGTTTTTATTTGTATGATTAAATAGTAAATACTAATGTGAACAATTTGTTGTACCGGATTAGAATCTAGACTAGGGCTGCACAATATATCGAAAAATTTTCGTCATCGCGATAACAGGACGTGCGATAGGCCCATCGCAAAACACGCCAAAAACAGCGATAAATGTTTGGTTCAAACATTTCCATCCGTGTCATACATCAACTTTTTCTAAACCAGCTCTGTTTTTTACGTGGAAGTGTTATTTGACCAATCAAATGTAGTCCTTCTGATATGTGGCCAATCAGATGGTTCTGTTCACGTAATACGCCCGCTCCCTACATAGACCCTTTTGGAAAGCAACACTCGAACTGAGTTAGCGGCGCTGTTACCTTGTTCGTCATGCTGGCTCAGAGCAACAAACACACTTTGTGCTGAGGTTTCTGGATTCAGCGCTGCTTTCAAACGTGAACGTGACTCCGCTCGGTGTCGTTAATCATTTTTACCGGGCTGACTCCGACACGTGCCGGTGAACCAACCCACCTTCATGTCGCTAGTGTTAGCCCCAGGCTCCGGTTAGCTTCCAGCTAAAAGGCTACAGCTAGCACTCTCCTCCCAGTCCCACCCTGCTAAAGAGGGCCTGGAAAAGTTCCCCCACACATCAAAGTGATTTTTCATTTATGAGCTTTTATAACCTTGTTAATCAGGATAGTTGATTTGCTGCTGCACATAAACTGTCAGTCAGAAGCTCTGCTAGCCGGTTATCTTAGTTCACTTTGTTAGCTTGTTATCAGAATCATAGTTGCAGTTTCATCATCTGAGCTGCTTTTTAAGATCTAGGTCAACTTGTTCAATTTGGGGTTAAAAACAAACGTTTTCACATATTTTCCATGTAGATTTTTGCCGGTTCCTCTTCTGAAAGGTAGACAATTGTTTTTCTCTTTCCCTCAGAAAATCTTAATATTCTCCTAGTTTGGCCCAGCACAGTTCACTTCCCAATTACAGCAACAGCCTTATATCATAACCACATAAGTGGAGAAAATGTTCGGTAGCAATGAGAGAATTTGCTGTTGCATTTAAGTCACCCACTGCCATTGACGACTAAAGTCGTCATTGGCATTTTTTTACTGTTTGAAAATCGGAACGAGCCCCCGCGCTGAGAGAACAAACATCTCAGCCCTGAAGCCGATCTTCATCGCCGATCTTCATCCGCATAAGTCACGTGATCAGGAAGCAGAACATCAATGTGTTAGGTCGTTTTGGGCCGTTCCTGTAAAAAAAGTGAGGCGCGAACCGGAAAAAAGTCTGCAGATCACAATTCGAAAACACGCGGATTCTTCCTGATGGAAGAGGTGAGTCTCCGCTTTGTTTTGGCGTCGACATCATCCTAGCACGCAACGTTCTGTGACTCTTAAAAAAACAGTAAAAACGGTGAGAAACGCTGGCAGCGAAGGCCGTTAGCGATCAGGAAACGGCTGGCCGTGAATGAGTTAAGTGACGTTTACTATTATTTAACATTTAACTTATTTTCTGATATTTTTATTCATTCAGAAAACCCTGGTAAGGGATGTTTTTCTGTATTTGGAGCATCAGAAAAAGTTTTATGGTGGAGGTGATGTTTTAAAGTCACTGAGAAACTGCATGCATGCAGTTTGTTGTTTTGCTGCTAATACAGTAGAAGGTGCAGCTGCATATTTTTGCTATAAAAATGTTATGTTGTAATGGAATTCATGCATTAGTTTTTGTTTGCTTTGAACCCAGAGCAGCCCTCACACGCCAGACGACATCAACACTGCATACTTTAGTATTTGTTCATTTATCGTGAGTAATATCGATATCGCCAAATTAAGCACTGTTATATTAATATCGCAGGTTTTCCTAATATCGTGCAGCCCTAATCTAGACCATCTTTTCACTTAATCTACAGGCTGGCTGGTGTTGTAATTCCGCTTTCACGCAGTGGGGAGAAGTGGGAAACGTATGAAGTGTTACTGTAACTACGTAGATACCTAAAATGTTTGCTGTTTTTTTTATGATGACACAGGCTGAAGCTACCTGGAGAACCCCGCTACAAACAGCCCTCTCATCCCAACATCTCACCACTCTTGCAGCTCCGGTGATGGGATGAGGCCCGCCGTGCCGTTTTTAGTGTTCTCCAGCTTTCCCTGCCACCAGTTGTGGTCATCCTTGGAGATGATCTGGATAATGTCACCTACCCGGAAGCGAATACCCGCCTCCTTACAGGGGATGAGGTCGTCTTTAGCCGGGTCGTACTCGAACTGAGCGCGTACGTAAATCTGTGGGTTCAAAACCAAGAGTCAGGTTCCGACCGGTGGGAAAGGACAATCCTGCAGCCAAGGGACAGAACATGATTTGCCAAGCTGTCATGAAAAAACACACAGGGTTCCGAGTTAAGCAGGAAGAAATGTGCAGCTTTATTTTGCAGGTGAACAGTTAAAGAACCTGAAGCAGGAAAACAAACGGATGAGCAGCAGGTGCGTCCGTCGTTTAATGACTTGTGTGCACGTTTTCATTTATGAAGCTAATCAGAAACACGGTGATGAGGTACCAAACTTTGCAAAGTGAAATGGGAGGAGCCGGGATCTACTTCTACCAAAGGGGGGGGGGGGGGGGGGGGGTCCACTTGCTACATCTTACCTTGATGGACAATTTGTCCTTCATAGCAGGTCTGGTCATCTAAAGGGTTGAGAGCATCACACACATCATGCAGTAGAAAATGTTGGGGCGCATTAACAAAGGACGTGTGACGGGGGACGCTACACTTTACACTTCTGTCTGTGTGAAGGATTGTTTTGATCATTGGGAAGGAATCCATCAGTTTTTGGGAGGAGAAACGTGACGAATCAGAGGACGAAAGTGAAGGAACGGGAACGCGGACGTCACGAATGACTAGATCTCACCTGACGGCCCTTGGGTTGGATCGTCGCCGGCAGGTCCTGGTGGAGGACACGAGTTTATGGCAGCATGTAAAAACACCGTGTGTAAAAGGTGGATGTGAATACACGCACATACCAGGATGGAGCTGGTCACACTAGCGTGACCATTTGCAGGCGACTGGCGAGACAGATCCGGAGACTCTTTCTGCAGCAGGTTTTCAAAATAAAAGTATATTTCACTCTAAATGCAACAGGAACAAATGAGTATGTGTGTGAGTTCATGTGGAGTTTTTTTTTACCTCACAGGACATGGATTGGGACCGGTAACTGGGCACGATCTTAAAAGTGATGCTCCCCCTCATCTCCCTCTGTGGAGACAATGGTGGCAACACTTATTCCGTCTGTTTTCTATCAGACTGCGTAAAAAAAGTCAGACTAGTGTGACAAACCAGCATCCTCTGGAGCTGTTCTACCGTCTGATTCGCTACACTGATGCCGTTGATCTCTCGGATCTCATCTCCAACATGCAGAGTCCCTGAGGCGGGGAAACAGTGAAGTAATTAAAGTCCTAATGCATCAACGCTTCACAGAGCAGGGGCCAAGAAAAATAATAGTTAAATGTAAGCTCTTTCAAAATAAAAGCACATTCAAAAAGAATTCTGCTGCTAGTGAGATTTGTACAGTTATACTTTATACCTTGTCGATGAATCATTCCACCATGCATGATGCGAGCCACAATACAGTGGTTGAGGTCATTCATTTTTAGAGTAATGCCCTAGAACAGAGAGTGGGACAGATGTAATCAATTACAAGGTATCATAATAAAACAGTCTTTAGATCAAAGCATCAGCTAACACTGCTGTAATGTTTACAAGAACTGCAGCCGTTTACAAGAAGGGACACAGCAGACTGCACTTCTTGAGGACGCTTAGGTCCTTCAATGTCTGTAGCAAGATGCTGCAGATCTTCTACAAGTCTGTTGTTGAGAGTGTAATCTCTTCAGCCATCGTCTGTTGGGGTAGCAGCATCAGAAGCAGGGACCTGAAAAGGCTCAACAGCCTGATAAAAAGGCTGGTTCTGTTCTGGGGACGACTGTGGAACCGCTGGAGGAGATCATGCAAAGAAGGATTCTCCAGAGAATCAAGAAAATGATGGACAACCCTGAGCATTCTCTTCACAAGACTGTCCGACAACGGAAGAGTGTCTTCAGTCAGAGGCTTCTTCAGTTTGGCTGCAACACTGACCGCTACTGGAGATCCTTCCTGCCAACAGCCATTGTAATATACAACAACTCTTTAATGACTTGATTATTATTATTATTCTGAGCTACTACAGCAATCAATTTCCCTCTGGGATTAACATATTATTTTTGAATTGAATTGAATGTAGCAACAGTTTACAGTATTCATCTGGTACTGCAAAGCTGGGCACAGCTCACTTTTGACCCTTTTCCACTAATAACAGGTACCAGGTCACCGTCTCTTTTTTAGTACCAGCTTTGATGAGGTTCCAAGCGCACAAAGCAAGGCCAAAAACGCAGCGTCAGACTGCTGGCCACTGATTGGCTAACGGGTGGAGTTGCCAGTTGCCCCAGAGTGTTTCGTCTTGCTTCCTGTAGTTTTTCGGGGGGGGGCTAACAAAAATCACCAACTAAACCAAATGTTCACCACCACAACATGTCTGCCACTGTTGTGTTTTTGTGTCATGTGATCGATGGCCTGCTGTTACAAACCCAGCCATTTCTCATCCGTAATGGAAAACCACCCAAACCACGTAGTTGAGTCTAGCCGCGCTGAGTAGGCGCACGTGGAAAAGGGCCATTTCTACACGCAAACACTTCGGTTTATATTGTGTAAATATTTTGGACCAAGCTACACAAGCTTTAAAGCTTATAAGTGATACTACTCTAAAGTACTAAGTAGGTTTTTTTTTTTACTGTTTTATGTACTTTTATAAAATTGACATTCAAATGCATCACTGACCTTGCTTTAAAGAGCAAGTCACCCCCAAATAAACTTTTTTTGGCTGTTAAACTAAATAAACAAGTGACTAATCGTGCTGCAGACACGTGTAGTCAATAATTTGGCACTTCAGTGCATCTTAGTTAAAATTTAAATATTCTGCCTAAAACTGGCAGTGTTGTGCCATTGTCAGGTAAAAACTCTGCACTGTGTTTTAATTTAAATCTGCCACCGCTATTAGCTAAGAGGTATGCTATGACGTAAACTGGTACATTATGATGTCACAATGCTGTCATGAGCCTGTGTGTGTGTGTGTATTTGTTAAGCTTGGTTTATGCTTGACACATTTACTTTCCGCTTGGTGATGCGGCTCGCGGATGGAACGCGCTTCACAACTTGCAGCGTTTATGGTTCATGCGGCTCGTCTCTGCGGTGAGCCAATATTCTCCCAAACTGTAGGGGGCAGCATGGAGCTCTACGGCATGCATCCAACACTACACCATAGTAGAAGTAAAAATTACTGTTTACAACATGGCATTCCAGCATTTTTTAACAGCGTCCTCATCTTTTCCGACAGTGCGAGCTATTTCTCTCCAAGAATTATTAACAACATGTTGATCACGGTGATCTTTGAGAGCTGAATCATACAAATATCTGCCATACTAGTTCTTGCCGGTCCGCCATGTTTTTCCTCGTCCGACCGTCCGCGTGGTTAGAATATTTCCTAGGTGCGCGTTGCGGAAATTTTGGGCCGTGCGAAGGCGTGGTTGTTAAGATGACGCAACTTTTCCTCGCGGAGCCGTGCGGACCTCGCGGACGTGTCAAGCATAAACCAACCTTTAGCAGCTCCGCCTTCTCGGTCTGCCAGGTAACAGCATTTGTTGCTTTTTTTTTTTTACATGAAGTGAGAGTGGAGTCAGACTCTGGTAGGGGTTGACTTGCTCTTTAAAGACAGTTTGTGAAATCCTTTTTGACCAAAGTTTTAAAAAAAAACTGCCTAGCAACAATGCTCACACACCATTGGCTCGTCGGTGTTCTTCTGAAACTGGACCAGCCGAACCCTGGTCACGTTCTCCAGGTCCATGTCTCCGTTGGTGCTGTCTGGAGAGTCTCCGTTCAGGTACGGTGAAGTCGGTGGAGGGGTCACCCTCAGCGCCTCGTCGCTGTACACCTCGTGGGCCACAACATCGTGGGTCTGCAGTAGAGCCTGGATGTCCAAAGACAAACATATTTAAACATGCAAACATCTAACACTAAAGCAACGCTTTGTTTAAAGTCAGCTGAGTGAAATGTTTCATTGTTGGTCTGAAAAAATGAGAGCACGTATAATGAACAGATTTTAGAACATGGCCTGCAGGGCAGTATTCCTGGGAAAGTTACTGTCTCCTACAAAGGAAGCTAAACTAGAATTTGGCGTTTGTTTTGGGGCCTTTTTCTTGTACTAAACTATGGCCCTCATACAGAAGTTGCGGGAGATTAATTATGGTGTGCCACAAGGGTCGGTCCTTGGACCTAAACTGTTCATACTATTTATTAATGATCTTGTAAGTGTATCTAAGCTACTCTGTACTGTTTTATTTGCTGATGACACAACATTGTTCTATTCAGGGTCAGATATTAATGAAGTAACTAGAGTGATAAATGACGAACTGATAAAAGTTAACAACTGGTTTGACATAGACTTTCACTGAATCTTAAAACAAATTTTATATTTTTTAATGACAGACAACAAAGATGTAACAATAAAAATAAATGGAATGGACATTCAAAGGGTGAAAGAAACAAAATTTTTAGGAGTCATATTTGATGAAGCCATCACCTGGAAGTCACACGTAGGTTATATCAGAGGTAAAATTGCCAAAGCCATTGCAGTACTACATAAAATTAAGTTTTTACTGAATAGTTCTGGATTGCTGACATCGTATAACTCACTAATTGTTCCATACTTGATTTACTGTGTAGAAATATGGGGATCCACATGTAAAACTCATACACAACCACTGTATATTCCACAGAAAAGAGCATTGAGAATCATTAATAACAATCACTACAGAGATCCATCCAATCCGTTATTCATCAAATATAAACTACTGAAATTTTATGATCTAGTGAATATGAAAATATTGCAAACAATGTATAACGCTAAAACCAATACGTTACCCACCAACATTCAGAAAATGTTTGAAAAAAAGAGTCAGTAATTATTTCTTAAAAGGAACTGAAGTATTTAAAAAAACAAAATTTAGAACCAGAATGAAGGAAATGACTATATCTGTAAATGGTGTGAGAATATGGAACAACCTTACCAAAGACATAAAGGAATCAAAGTCACTAAATATATTTAAAAAATCTATCAAATCAAGTGTATTACAGAACTACAATAACCTAATTTCAGCTGGTGTCTGATTTAGTCTATAAGTTAAAAGAATATAAAATGAATCTGTTTCGTTTTTTTTTTTTTTTTTGTTTATTGAGAATTGTATGAAGCATTATTAAAAAGTTTGGTTTGTAAATAGGGGCAGATAATATAAGATATTTCTTCCTTCTGCTCCTTTTCATTCAAATTGTTTGGTGTTCATGTTTATGTATGTTTTTTTTGTTGTGTTTGTATATGTATATATATAATCTATATCTATATCTATCTATCTATATATATATATATATATATAATTTTTTTTTTTTTACACTTTGAATGAAACAAATAGAGGAAAAAAAAGTACGTAAAACAATATACGATTTAGGCATATCCGCTCTAGAGAACATCTCACACTATCCACAATCCAACATGATTTACTGCTAACAACAGAAAATGTCCTTCAGATGCATCACTTTCCATCTTTCCCATCACACCTCCGGTAGCACGTACCAGAAAATGTGAAAAGGGCGGCAACTAAAATCCTAAACACTCTTTGGACCTATAGGTTTCATGTGAATGCCATATTTAGAAATGCTGCAGTTTTTGTCAAAAATCTGACAAGTTTGTCGCTTTGTTTGTGTAGCGTACCAAATGCCAACTATTTGGTTATTTGTCCACTGTAAGGTCAGAGGTCATCACACAGAAGTGTCCAGGCTGTTTTGTGTGCCACATGACATCTGTCTGGTCTCCAAACCAGAAGACACACTGCTCTACAACCTTGTTACCAAGAAGGGAAGCCATAACAGGGGTGGACCTTTAAAGCGCCCGAGCGCCAATGGCGCTAAATTTTCTCGTCGGGCGGTAAATACTTGACGACTTACCGCCCGGGTGGCGCCCAAGCTTTATTTGTTATTTACACACCGGCTTTCACCTACATCATGGCCCCGCCCTGTAGGAAGCTGCCGTTTTCGTTTCGCGCGCGTGAACCTGCGCGCCTCTAGCCACGTACTGCACTTGTACGATTCGTGCACGTCCTGCACGATTCTAGTTATTGTCACGTGAACTATAAGTTCACTATTAAAGACGAAGTGGAACCACGCTAGAAACACACAAGCACGCAGGAAGATCGCGCCACCACAGGGATTGGATTTCTTGATGAATTCTCCGGCAAAACGCTTTAAAACTGGTGAGGAGAAGCGAGACAGTTCGAAACGGTATGAAGCAGAGAAGCGTGTGCGTAGGTGGAATGATTCTTGGCGGTTTAAAGAAGACGGTAGGCGCGGAGAATGGCCGTATTTGAGTTGAGTAGCGGCTCGCCTGGAAAACAGACGAGAGCAGACGGAAGCAGCAGGGGGAGTGGCTGAAAGCCGACGTTTAACGCCGGGGACACACCGGCCGCGGAAGCGCCCGAAGCGAATCGCTCACGAAGTCCGGCCGCTGCTCGCTGCTCCTCAGTTCAGACGCGCCCCATTCGAGGCGCGCCTCGGCTCAGCTGTAGTTTTTCTTTTAATTACTTGGTGTCCTCCATTTCCTCAGCTCTTTTCCTCTGTGTGTGTGTGTGTGTGTGTGTGTGTGTGTGTGTGTGTGTGTGTGTGTGTGTGTGTGTGTGTGTGTGTGTGTGTGTGTGTGTGTGTGTGTGTGTGTGTGTGTGTGTGTGTGTGTGAGAGTGTGAGAGAGTGTGTGGTGTGAACCACTTGGTTGTTTCTGCCAGTTGAATCTCTTGGACTTACCTACATGTGTAGCTCGGGGGTGACGATGGATGAAGATATCGCGTTAGCATTCACACTTGTTCAATTTTCAATTTTAATTCTGGTGCCTGTTAGCAGCAGAAACACATCCTCACGCGCTTGTGGATATCATATATTCTATATGAAAACATGACTGTAATAATAAGTAAAGGTTAGCAGCTGTTCAGTGTGCTCATAGGAAACGTGACAAAAGAACACAAAACACATTTCTCCTTATGGCCTATATTGTTGTTATCATCAACGTAACATGATTTACAGAATACATGTGACCAACTAACATTTCATGTTCTACCACCGGATGTTTGGATCAAAATGTGAACCAATCAGATCTTAGATCAGGTGAGAGCCAGGCGTTTCCCATCATCCTCTAGGTTTTGCAGCCGGTAGAGAGCAACTGCAGCGCCTTGCTCCAAAATCTGCGGCCGCCTTGATCTCACGAGGTTATCGATGCCTACGTATGCATGACGTCAGAGCAAGTCGGGTCAATTCGGACACAAATCTAACCGGCATGCACTGCTCGCCTATCACCGCTGGTCTAACCTGCGCAGAACTGGCTTATCTCAAACACAGTCAATGGCTCGAATACAGCAAAGCGGCGTTGGTGATGTACTGCGTTGTATGCCGGAAGTATGCGACGACAAAATCGTGTTTTGTTGAGGGAACAAACAAATTCAAACTTGAATACGTTATTATATTTGTGAATGTGTACAAAATAAAGGTTTATTACATTTAAAACGGTTCAGTTGTTATTTTGACTCGTTTTGGCGGCTGACCAGCGGGGCCGGTAGATTCTTGGCGGGGCCGGTAAATATTCAGAGTTACCGGCCCGGCTGGCCGGTTGGTTTTGAAGTTAATGTCCACCCCTGCCATAATAAAGTCCTTCTCCTGACTCCCTTATCTGAGCCGCAAACCCAAGGTCCCATGCAGAAGACGAGACTTTTACTCTCTGAATAAAGCTCATCTTTCCTGGCTCATAAATGACTTTATGATTTCATATGTGTTATATAATCATATTTTGTTGAATGAACAACATGTTTAAATCCAAAATGTTTTAATAATGTGTCTAATACTCTACATTAATGAATGATGGGTTAAAATGAGTATTTTTCCTGTAATGATTTCATTCAGATCTTAAATTACACCAAATCAGTATTTGTTGATTTTAATCATTTAATTTATCAGTATATTCACACCTCATAATATTATTAATAATGTTTAACAGTTTTGCTTCACATTAAGATAAAACCTCCAAGTATCTGAGGGAAAGAGGGAATGCCTGAAGTATTTTGGTAACGCCTTTAAACTTGTCAAATTGTGATTTGTCTACATTTGTAAACAAAAGTTAATAAAAATAGAGTTCACTCCCTGAGCTAACCAGTTCTTAGCCAGATTACTCGATTAGGCTGAACGGGTGAGCAAAGCGCTTGGAACCATCCTCTCTTTTGACCCCAAGGTCAAAGCCTCTCTGCTACGACTGCGAGTGGTTTCAGACGCTACAACGCCTCAGATGGGGAACGTCTAACTAGCAGACCCTGGTAGCGTCTTCTGGCCGGTGATAACTGAATTTAAGGGGCGCTACGACTGAGATTCCTGGAACCGCTTCATCTGGTGACATCACCAATCTGACTGCCTTTCCTCTGGACCGCTCAAGAGCTGCCATCCAACAGGGGTACCTGCACACTGGTGTCAGATGGGTTTATGAATAATCTATAGCTTGTTAAACCCCACAGTCAAACTGGTTTTTAAACCCAGACATCACAAGATCTCTCAGATACTTAATAAGATTTTGCTACAAAACATCTAGCTTACGTTCCGTCATTCATCATAATTTGTCATGTATGATCATTAGTTTACAAATATAGAATTAAATTCATTTTTATAAACTATATCCTTGACTTTGTCTGAGTTAATGTGAAGTGTGTTCTCTGAATAATCCAAAGAACCTAAGACAATAAATCAAATATTAAAAGACCAATCAGATTGATTATTCATATTTATATGGAATATCACATCTTATTGATCATTTTATAATATATAGCGACCTCTATAATGCTACATTAGCACTCTTATATTAGACCAACAACTTACTTGATCTGACAGGTCAAAAGCCCCCCCCCCCCACCCCCCCCCACCCCCCGGTCAAATCCTCATGGTGCCACCCCCAACTCTGGGATGTGCAGAGCCAACCAATTGTGCAGTAGTTTATTGATGATAAATGCTTCAAACAGCCAATAGAACTGGGAAAACCCAAAACCTTGTGGTCTGCTTCAAGAAACTGATCAAGAACAATTGTGATTGGTGGATTGCTGCGTGTCCCGAACCCTCAATGTTAGATGAGAACACAATGTTAGTTTGCTTCTGACATCACAGAAGGACCTGCGATGTGACGATCATGCACCCGCACTTGCAAAGTCGATGCTCAAGCATTACATCGTTCAGCTGTGGTTAACACAAGAGACTCTAAGGTATGATCAGATACACGACGACATCCGCTTTGCTGAGCGGATGTCGTCGTGTATCTGACAAACGGCACCAAACAGCAAAGTTCTGCATAAACCGAGGCGTATTTTTCCCCACGTGCTGCCTAAATCCCACCATGCTCGTTCCACTGGCAGCAGAGGCAGGATGAAAATCCTAACCAGTCAGGTCAGAGAGCAGAGCGGGCTAATTGGATTGAACCAAATCTGAGACGTCCAGCTCCTGAAAGTGTCACACACTGAATCAGCAGCAGGAAACACCTTCCAGCGCCTGACATTTGAGCTGCCGCTAAGAGAACCAGTCCACAAACCGAACCTCACAACAAAACCAGGCTTGTTTCATAACGATCGGAGACACAAAACCGAGCTGCGTGTGGTAATTATACCTCTTCTGTTCCAGCGTCCAGCAGTGTCCTCTACATCTGTCTCTGATTTAACCTCCTCCGATCAGCGCGGTGGTCCCGATTCCAAACTAGCGTATCAAACGCATCATTCTGAGGTTTTGTTGTGATGCTTCCATGTGTGCGCCGTGTTCCTCTGAACGTGTCTATCCCTGCCTGAAGGCTCTCCAGGCTCAGGTGCTAAGCAGCTTTGTTACCGAGGGGGTTAGGTGGATCGTCTCTGTCGCACACATGAAAAGCACCACTCTACATGAAGGTGTGTGTCATGTCCCACCATGAAGTGTGGCTGTGTGAGGATCCTCCGGAGCTCCCTGGCTTCCATGTTCTCCGGGTAACAGGAAATGGTTTCCAGTACCTGAAAAAGGGAAACACGATGGTTTTTTCTACCTTTTCACATGAGAATAATGTCCTGGCTTCCATCAAATGTTTTTAAGCATTTTAGAGCATGAATTGTTGTTTTCATGCTTAGATCTGGCTCTGCTCTCTCAAAACACACTCAAAAGGTTCCCTCATGTGTTCAAATATGTTTTATTTGCTTTTAGATTCAGATAAATGTTCCTCTCCTGTGGAATTGTCCATGAAGAAGAAGAAGAAGAAGAAGAAGAAGAAGAAAATATCATTTCTATAGCTTCTCTCAAGATAAAAATCACGAGGCGCTTCACAAAAACAAAAATTGTAAAAATATAAAAAAGCATTTAGAAAATGTTTAAAAATATATTTAAAAGGAGCAAAAACAGACAACTGTGATTAAAAAAATGTTAAGAAAGAGAGAGTGAATAGGAAAGAGGGAAATCAGTGGATCCTGAGGAAGGTGGAATAGGTGGAGAGCAGAATAAAGAGAGAGTGGTGAAGAAGGTCTTACAAAAGCCAGCTGGAACAAGTGAGTCTTCAGCTGCTTTTTGAAGGAGACCACTGAGTCCACTGATCTCAGGCTCAGGGGGAGAGAGTTCCAGAGTCTGGGGGCCACAGCAGCAAATTATCTGTCACCTTTGGTCTTTAGCCTGGTGCTGCACAACCAGTAGGATTTGGTCACTGGACCTCAAGGACCTGCTGGGGGTGTAGGGACTAAGAAGATCACCAATGTAAGATGGTGCTTGTCCATGTAAGGCCCTATAGACCAGAACCAGGATCTTGAAATGAACCCTGAAGTTGACTGGCAGCCAGTGAAGCTGGAGGAGAAGCGGGGTGATGTGGGTGTGTTTGGAGGACTTGGTCAGAAGCCGAGCACAGGCATTCTGAACCACCTGCAGACGGTTCAGGGAGGTTCTGCTCAGACACGTGAAAAGAGAGTTACAGTAGTCTAAGCGTGAGGAGATGAAGGTGTGGAGAACTGTCTCAAGTTCAGAGCGGGACAGAATGGGACTCAGTTTAGCAATGTTCCTGAGATGGAAGAAGGAAGAGCGAACAAGAGAACTGACACGAGAATCCAGGGTGAGAGCTGGGTCAAAGGTCACACCAAGAGTCCTGACAGAAGGTTTGGTGTGGGAAGCAAGCTGACCAAGAGAGTCTCTGACTTTGGGAACCAGCTTGTCTGGGGCACAGATGAGGATCTCAGTCTTATCTTCATTCAGCTGTAGAAAGCTCTCAGCCATCCAGGTTCTGATAGAGTCTAAGCAGGTGTGTAACAGCTGCAGCTTAGACATCTCATGGGGCTTAAAGGAGATGTACAGCTGGATGTCATCTGCATAAAGATGGTAGGAGATTCCTTTGAAGGAGCTCAGGATGTGCTGAAGAGGAAGCAGATAGAGGAAGAAAAGCAGAGGCCCCAGCACAGAACCTTGTGGGACACCATGGGTAAGAGAGGTGGTGGAGGACCTAAACTTGGCTCTTGGATTAATGGAAGATGATCCTGTCAAAAGTCTCCCAGCCAATCAGAAGCCAGATATGACCAATGAGCTTGTTTTATTAACATACTCAATAGGGAGCCTAAGTCACGCCCATCTACTTCCGGACCACGGGTCCCCGGAAGAACGGAAAAAGGGATGCTAGTCAATGGGGCTAAAAATGCTATTTTCTAATTCTGCTTGTTTTGTGTCACGGATTTCACATGTGATGTCCGTGAATTTTAATGAAGCATTTTGATACCAAGAAAGCACTTATTTTTGGTTTTGTGTAAAAATAAGTCCGGGACTACACATCGAACCAGACACGGAGAAAACCAGAGCACAGGTGGGCAGGTCTGCTATAAAATGACAAAAACATTAAGCTAAGTGTTAATAAATGAACAGAAGGCCTAGCATTTCGCCCAGATTATTTTATGTTAAGAGATTATCGCATTAAAGCTATTCTGGTCAAATCTCAAAAACATTGTGATCTCAGCCATATTGTAACGTGTCAAGTAATGAATGTGCAGTATGTGTAGGGGTCTATAAAGATCAGTGAGTTTTTGCCATTTATGTTTTTCTAAGAGGTCAGCTTGATGTTATGACCACAGACAAAAAACATTATAACCTGCTTTCATTGGTGTGACGCAAAGCCAAGATTCATGAGGATTTCAACTCTCTGCTCCTTCCTCAAAACGGGGTCATTGTGACACTTTGAGACGTTTCCTCACCTCTTTGGCTCTTTGCACTCCATCACTTGGAGGATTCCTGATCTGAGGAGACGACCTGGTGTTGATTTTATCATAAAGCTGAAAGAAAAAACCACCAACAAACACCTGATTAGGCCAAAGAAACCATCATGATTTACTTATGTTTAGTCCTGACACCTAATGCATAGTTTTGGTGTTCCAGATGAAGCCAACGCACATCTAACAGGGTGTGCAGGTGCTGGTCCTGGAAGACACTGTGCAGAAAGTCCATGTCCTTCTCACTGCAGTCCGTCAATGCATGAATCTCCTCAAGGCTGTCCAAAACCTGTGATACTGCCCCTGTACACACACACACACACACACACACACACACACACACACACACACACACACACACACACACACACACACACACACACACACACACACACACACACACACGGAGATCAGTTTCATGCTAAACTAAACCGAACCTCGACCACAAAAACAGTCATGAGCACATCAAGCAACCACTACGTGAAACACAAACACTGAACTTATCCACAGAAACACAACCATAAACAGGCAAAACAAAAGGAGAAATAACACACACACAGTCACAACACACACACACACACACAGAGAGAGAACTATTTAACCCTGAGTACCTGCTGCATCGCCCAAACATGCAGCAAAACCAGAGAAACAGCATCAACAGAACGTCAGAGGAAAGTCACTTCAGAAAGTCAGTGTGTGAAAGATGGATTATGGGTAATTGACGCAAGAGATGTGAATTAAAAATGTGTGTGGATGTGAGACGAGAGTAGACATGTGTGAGGGGAATGTGGATGAACTGTAGGACAAAATGAAACGCGAATCTTGCTTGAACGTTTCCAGACTCTAAAGAGTGAGAGCGGTGCTGCGGGGTGAACTTCCTGTCTTCGAAGCAGTGATGGAGTCACGTCTCATCTCGCAACCTGCTTTGTTTTACTGGAGGGGAACGAGGGATTTCTGAGAGCCATTTTGGCTAAATTAGCATCCGCTCATCACGGATACGTAACTTTTAAAAGCAACGATTGGGTAGATGGGTTTGAATTCATTATGGATTTTCTTTCCTCAAAGGCCTTTTAACTTGATGAGGCTTTTAAACTCTTCGCTGATGATCGACTGCAGCTGCTCGTTTCCCGTGGGAAAGCCCTTGTAGATGTACGGATATACCTGCAAACTTGGGAGCTGTGAAAAAGGTGGCAGCTAAGTGCCGACTGGTCTGATGAGTTGGTTGTGATTAAATGTTTGCTGTATTACTTCAGTAACCCTACAATGGCTACACTCCTACTTATCCGATAGGAGTTTTTGTGTCAGTGTAGGTGAAACCTCCTCGACCTGGGCGAGGCTCAAGTGGGGTGTGCCACAGGGGTCTGTACTGGGTCCGCTTCTTTTTGCCATCTACTTTCTACCGTTGGGGAATCTTCTTCGGCGGTTCGGCAAGCGTTTTCATTTTTATGCTGACGACTGTCAGATCTACCTCCCCCTTCAGCAGGGTGTCGATGGGTCAATATCAAAGCTTGTAGATGCCTTACCCCCAAATTCCACTACCTCCGCTCCGCTCCGACATGAACGCCGGAGCAAAATCGGTCCCGTTGTAGTCAATCAGAGCAATTCCACTACTGTGGCTGTGCTCCGGCAGTGCGGCGCCGTGCGCCGCCCTCTGTTCCGGCATCCGGCAAAAATAGAATCGATCCTATTTTCGCCGGACGCCGGAGCACCTCCGCAGTAAATGGACAGAAATCACAACCGCCCAACAGGAAAAGGAGCAAGCACAACTTCCGTTTTTCACAATAAATCGATAAACAAAATGCGTTTTTTGTTTCATATGCACAGGTTTAACAACTTTTAACAACTATCAATGGCGGCTGAACTTTAAATGCACAAAAGTAAGCCATAAATACAGTTTCTACTATCAAAGTAGTCACACTTTGTTGATCCAAACACTGCTGATCTCTCAACACAAATGATGGGCAGATTAAACAGTTCATTTCGATGCTTCTCCCACACAACGGGTGTTTGGATCTAACTTCCGCGTTTATTGCTCGGACTGTATCGCAAGATCTCGAAAATCCCGCGCATGCTTGTTTGCCCACCTCAGGTCTCCGCACCGGAGCGGAGCCGTTGTAGAGCGGGTACCAGTAAAAATTGAGTTCGGAAGCGAGCGGCTGCGGAAGGTGGGGGCGGACCGGAGCGGAGGTAGTGGAATTTGGGGGTTAGAGGATGTGCGCTCCTGGATGGCTACAAACGTTTTACATCTGAATGACGCTAAGACTGAATTGATTGTACTTAGCCCTGGCATGCCTACACACCCATGCGATGCTGTGAATCTGGGCCCTTTAGCATCCAACATGAAGACCACCATCCGAAATTTGGGAGTGCAACTGGACTCAGCCCTTAAATTCGATGCGCAAATCAACCAGGTTGTGCGATCGTGTTTTTTTAACTTACGCCGTCTAGCCAGAATTAAGCCCCTGCTGTCCAAAGTACATTTAGCGACTGTCACACACGCCTGTCACCGGCCTTAGTCAGGGTGCGGTAGCACGCTTGCAGTTAGTACAAAACTCAGCCGCTATGTTCGTGACAGGCACTAGGCGCAGGGAACATATCACCCCTGTGTTGGCATCCCTTCATTGGCCGCCTGTACAATACAGGGCAACATTCAAGGTCTTGGTACTGGCACACAAGGCCTTACACGGAACTGCTCCAGCATATCTTGGCAACCTTTTGCATAGACATGCCCCCTCGCGGACCCGTAGCTCAGCCGGCAGGGAGCTGTTGATCGTTCCATGCACTAAGTGCAGGTCATGGGGGGACAGTGCATTCTCTGTGTTGGCAACTGCACTTTGGAACCAGTTGCCTTTGGTGGTGCGTCAGTCACCCTCACCTACATCCACAGGTGGCGGCCACTCTGAAGTTGCAAGTGCAATATTCTGGCCACAGAGGGCGTTGGGGGTCTGAGTGACGTTTCATTAACCCTGTAAAGGGTCATTTTAGCACATATTGGCTCAAGAAAATGATTTAAAATATGAAAAAGGACCCAGCATATGCCGTACTGGTTTATATCGGTATCGTAAATAAGGAAGCAGACGATATCAGATATCGGTAAAAAAAAGCCAACATCGAGCATCCCTAGTCGATTTAAATACTAGTGTAGATGTTTGTGTATATCTGATCCAGAACAAAGAATGAGAACCCAATTATACTCAAATCTGTGCACTCAAACTTAAAATCAGGTTTTTATTCACGTTCCAGTCTGGAAAAAGGACGATTCAGACCCGTTATTAAAAGCCATCAGTGCCCTCGATGATGAAAACTTCCACTTGTAAATATTTATTTAGGCCTCTGAGCTGAAAGCACCAAGAGAACAAGCTGCTTTTAAAGGGAGTCAAACCCGCTGACGTGCATCAATCTGATGTGGTTTCCTCTGAAAACTAGCAAGTACAGCTAACCAACGAGGTGCTCTCTAAAGGTCAAAGGGCAGCTCTGGGATTGAATCATTTCTCAAAGGGGAACAATGACAGAAGGATCATCATCATCATTCAACACAAAGGGGAAGAAAAGAAGAAAAACGCAGCTACAAAGCAAGTGATGTAATGATGAGATCATACAAAAATATAACAATGAGTGGGGATGGGGATACGTACTTTCAGCAGCTAGCAGTCCTAGAGACAGCAGAGCAGAAAAAAAACACCACAGAAAGAGAGAGGCTGAGATTAGAGGAAGGTTGCTGCAAACAGAGCTCAACACCTCAGATTTAGAGAGGAAGGGGCCGAAAATACAGAAGAGTCAGAGGAAGGATCTACAACGAGGTATGTCTGGACGCCTGAGGCTGCAGAAATCAGCCAGTCACCAGGAAGCACGGCTGCAGCGGCGTGCTTGTGTCAGCAGAACCGCTGGTGCTTTCAAAGTTCTGTCTGCAGCAGAACTGCTCGAAGCTGCGCTGAAACACGCCGCCGATAAGAGCCAGCAGCAGCAGCAGCAGCGTCCTTATCGTAGGAAGTGAAAGTTTACAGATGAGACAGAGAAGTCAGGTCGTTGAGCAACATCTGTCTTCATCGTAACAGAGGAAATCCGACACAGACGGCCGTCTCCAACGGGAACAGAACCTGAAAACTCTTTAATCGCTGAAATTACATCATGATGTCTGAATAAAAGGCTTAATAATAATGTGTTGTCAAAACCTTTCGGGGTGTTTTCTTCACCTGATGGGAAGCTGAGGGTTACCTGAGGAGGTTGGGTCATCCGAGAAGTCGTGGAGCTCCTCAGGAGGATCCCCGTAGTAGGAGTTAAACTTGTGGCTGGAAACAGCAGCCAGCACTGCACCCTGGAAAACACACGTGTGTTTTTAGACATGTTTGGAGGAAACGCCTCAAAACCAAATGACCAAACGTTAAAAAGAGACCACAGAATCTGTCACAGGGCGGCTAACCTTCAGCTTCCTCCTGGCGTTGAACTTCCTCAGCTGCTCCACCGTTTCAGGCAGGTGGATCTTGTAGGCGTACCTGTCCCTCTCCTGCAGGTGGAGAAGTCGCAAACATCAATGTGCTTATCACAAACCAGGGGATGTGGGGTGTAGTGTGACAGATGAGAAAGCAAAGCTGTGGCTTTGAGCCAGCTGGGGTAAAGGTGGCTGCGACTCATCTCTAACCTTCAGCCAGGGGTGGTTCAGGGCCTCGTAGACGGTGATCCTCTCTGCGGGGTCTAGCATCAGCATGCGTCTCACCAGGTCCTTGGCGCTCTCTGAAATGTGGGCCCACTGGCGCGGATTCATCTGCACAAAGATCAGCACTTTTGTAGAATTGTACAAAGCTCTCCTGAGTCTAAGCTAGCGACAAAATGAAGTGCAGCGAATGAGAGAAATGGTTTGATCACCACCACCTTGTATTTCCCCTTAATGATGGCCTCGAACAAGCGCTCCTTGGTGCCATAGAAGGGCAGGCAACCAGAGAGGAGGATGAAGAGGATGACTCCACACCCCCAAACGTCCACGGGCTTGCCGTACGGCTCCCTCTTCACCACCTCGGGGGCCATGAAGTGAGGCGTGCCGACACGACCTGAGGAGATTAGTTTGTATATTAGCCACCAAGAGGAACTGAGAGTGGAAATGAAACTAGTAACAGCCTGGCATCAGGGTCCGTAGAGCGTGAAATTACAACAACTTTAATTTGTGATTCTGTTAAATGGTTGGATTATAAAACAAATGAAATTCGGTTCACTGGTATTTTATCATTTATTATGGCTACCAGAACAAACGTTGGAAGTAACACCTAGACATCGCTCTTGGACTGCTGAAACTAATATTGGACAACTTTGTTTCCAAGAAAAACCACTCCGTTTTCTAGTATTTGTACTTTGTAGGAAGTAATGAGAAAGTCCTAAACAACTTGGAGAACAAAAAGGAAAAATATATATAAAAAGATACTTTGTAATGAACCACAGCCTCCCCTTTAACAAACCTTGGTTCACCTGGATAAAGTTCAATTTTTAATATGTTTTACTTGTTATATTAAACATTAGTATATCAATGATTTCCAAATCTTCTCCACTGGGCCTCCCTTTGTCGCACAACACCCCCTCCTTGAGCACACTTGCATACACACACACTTTGTTTTATTTACATTTTTTTCACATCGTAAAGCTTTTTTGAACGACTGGACAAATGACAGTAAACTGCGATAATATATAACAGGTTGCAATTAAATAAACTACAACCTATTTTAAGTATCAGAAAATCAAACCACCTTTACAGAGTTACTAAACATTTCTGCTCAACCCTCATCTCTGCAAGAGAGGGTCGAGGATTTTACACTAATTTATAAAAGTTGGATGTCATCTGCATAAAGATGGTGGCAGATTCCTTTAAAGGAACTCAGGACGTGCTGAAGAGGAAGCAGATAGAGGAGGAAGAATAGAGGCCCCAGCACAGAGCCTTGTGGGACACCATGGGTGAGGGATGTGGTGGAGGACCAAAACTTGGAGATGTCCAGCAGGACCAGAACAGAAAAGTCCTCTGCATCACTGTGGGTCAGAAGGTCATTAGAGACCCTAAGAAGAGCTGTTTCAGTAGAATGAGCTCTACGCAAACCTGACTGTAAGCAATCATAGGTGTTCAGTTCATTAAGAACAGCTGTTAGATGTTTAGCCGCAACCTTTTCCAAGATCTTGGAGATGAACGGAAGTTTAGAGATGGGTCTGAAGCTGCTATGGAGAGAGGGGTCAAGACTGGGATTTTTAGGAGGAGAGTGAATTACAGCATTCTAAAAGGGGGACCTGACCAGAAACCAGAGAAGCGTTAATTACAGAGAGCACGCTGGAGCCGATGGACTGAAAAGCATTCTTAAACAAAGATTAGTAAGATGTCAAGGGGGCATGCAGAGGTCTTCATAGAGTTAACTCGTTTGGTTAGCTCAGGCAGAAACAGGAGCAAAACTATCTAGAATGACGGGCCGGGTTTGGGTCGGAACAGAGATAAAGCTGAATTAGAGATGCTAGATCTAACCTTACTGACTTAGTCCACAAAATAAGTTGGGGGGGGGGGGTAATGCCCATCAGAGTGAAAGGAGGCTGCAGGTAAAGCAGGAGAAACAATGCTGCTGATCAACACCTTGGGATTCCCTTTGCTCCAAGACACCAGGTTGAAGAAACATGCAACCCTCGCATCTCTGACCACAGATTTAAAGATTTGCAATTCATCATTGTTTTCAAAAAATGTGTAATATGTATATGTACATAGAACAAGTGTCGCAAAAAAGATTGCTGATTTGATGTGGAAGTTTGCAATGTCCCGTCGCTAATAAAAAACGATGGCCGACGGTTGAATAATTCCTTTAATCACCTAACCTTAGTATATTCTGATATTCTAATATATCAGAAAACTATTTATTCAGAGGCAAAACTGTCATTATTTACAAAAACATGGCATAAAGAAATGAGGAAACTATCAGGAGTGCATGAACATTTGCTGTCCGTGGTTTTTTGTGTATGCATGGATGACTGAGGCTGTTGGATGTTTGTTGTCAAACTGGACCCTTCGGTGAGATTGCTCCGATTGGCTGCTCAGCCAGGGGTGTTACTGCTGAAAGGAAACAAGTGAGTGGATGGCAACAAATGTCACGAGCAGAACTTATTCTTAGCTCTCCAAAACGAGGAACCGCTTCGAGAAGAACAAGCAGCTTTGTTTGATTGTTGCGTGTTTAAAGGACATGTTTCAGCTTTACGTGCGTCTGAGGGTGTTCTTTTTATAATTTTAACCCCATTTCAGAGGGAGTTGATGCTTTTTTGAGCACGGCCTTGAAAGAAAAGGTTGTTTGAATTTTGTAAACCAGTGAATGAAATCAAGTTGGAAACAAAGATATTATGAAACCATTCCTTAATTGTAACAACAGTAGTTTTTAACGGATTAATCTACCGGATTGGGTTGGGCAACATTATAACTCAAAACCTTTAAATTTATTTAAAAGTTAACTTAATTTATATGGAATTACATTTATAAACAGTAAAGATTTACTCAAGTGGATTATTTTCTATTTAGTCAAATTAAATGAACAACTTTAACTAAAATTAGCATCATCATGAGGGTAAGAAGGGCTGAATAATGAAGCTTGAAAATCGATATTTTAAGGTTTTATAACTAATTTGCCCATTTTTCTTTATTCTTACCTTATTTCTTTTATCCCTTCCTACATTAAAGTTCTTTGGTAACACTTTAAAATAAGGGTCCCTTTAGTTATGTAACTTGGCGCATTATTAAGCATTAATATACTATTAAAGTAACAACTGCTTTATATAAACGTTAATATTAAGTAATGCATTATTAAGCAAAACACCCCTCACGTCTTTGTCCTAACCTTAAGGACAATTCGTAGTTAATATCGTGGAAGTTAATAGAGGGATCCTTTGTTTATTAATGCTTAATAATGCATCAAGTAACGTTAGTAAAGGGAACCTTATTTTAAAGTGTTATCAAATCTTTTATTAAAGTTTAGCAGTTGACAGAAAGTTATACTTTAAAAGTTTAAACTAGCATTTTGTTTATGTTGTTTTCACACTACTGTATTTTGTATTGTTAGGGTTATGTTAATTAATAATTGGACTACATATACAAACGATGCACAGAACTGTGGGGTTTATTTGTCTAATTTTTCTCGATGTGTCTGTTGTTGCTATAGGGCCCACGGTTTTCTCTCAAATCTCTTCAGCGTGTGCATCCTAAAGCTCGTACCAGTGTTAATTTCGGGAAAAATTTCCATTCTGACTAAAATTCTTCTTAAATCTTGTCACAATTTAGTCGTCCAATTTGCTTTAATTTTACTCCTATTTTTGTCGACTATGTAATTTTTTTTAACTTCTGATGCAATAATTTTCACCTTCCGTAAAGAAAACATTAATTACACCTACCTGAAACGGTAAAGAAACGTAAAAAATCACCGAACGGATTTAGAAACAGAACATAGGGTTACGTTATGTAAACCCCGGTTCTTTGATACCAGAGTGATGTGTTTCACCAACAATTCCCTTCTTGCATTAACGGTAAGAAACCTTACTAATGAGTAGGAGGGGTTGGTCGGCCGTGGATATACTAGGTGGGCGGAGCCTGGGCACGGCACAACTGGTCTGTCAGGGACAGACGTGATGTCAGTGGAGCTTCCGTAGTTGGTCACGCCAGGGCGATTCCCATAGTGAAACACCTCACTCTGTTATCAAAGAACCGGGGTTTACCTAACTTAACCCTACGTTACTCTAACAATACTACAAGAAGGTTAATTAAAGGGAACGATTGTTTTCAGGTGTATTTATTAGTTTCCCCTGCACTAATTGGCTTCAGCTGAGGAAACTGAGGATGCCAACCATGATGGTGGTCCAGTTCTACACGCCCACCATTGAGTCTATCCTCACTTCCTCCATCGCTGTGTGGTTTGCTGGGGAAACTGCCAGGGACAGGCCTGCAGCGTGTGCTTTCAGCGGAAAAGGCGATCGGTTGTAGCCTCCCATTGATCCACAAGCTGCATGCCTCCAGAGCTCTGAGGCGTGCAGGTCTCGTCCTGGTCATGGACTGTTTAGACCACTCCCCTCAGGCGTGAGGTTCAAGTCCACTCGGTACAAAACCTCATGCCACATAAACAACGTCCTACCCTCTGCTGTAGGACTTCTGAACACCAAATAACCATACAATCTTTTTTTGATGCATCCTATTTTTCTATTACTTTACTTGTATGTTTGCACCAGTCCGCCAAAGCTAATTAACCAAGGCCGCCTGAACGTTATCCCCTCACAAAACCACCACTAGAACACAAAAAGCTTCAATAATTACATACAGACCAAGTTAAGTAAATAATTGCTTTTGTTTGTTTGTTTTTTTTACGAGTGTGCGCCCGTACCTCCAGCTACTAAACCGGACTCTCCCAGCTGTATGGCCACACCGAATCCACCCAGCTTGACTGGAGCAGAGTTCTCTTTTGAGGCCAGAAGCACGCAGTGAGGCTGCAGGGGAAGAAAAGCAGATCAAAGTGCACGTTAAATACGGGGACGATCTCTTAAATTCAAACCTGCAGACAGCCGTTCTGCACAAATCAACAGGTTCCTCTACGTTTGCATTTTGTGCAGGGCATGGGTTTTCTCACTGTGTGCAAAGTTGCACGGTCCTGTGTTCAAAAGCTGATTAGAACGCCTCAGTCTCACTCTGACAAAAGAACTTGAGCAACTGTGACCACACGACTAATATGAAGCCGCAATGGAGAGGAAACTGCCGTCTCCTCTGTGTTAATATGCATTGATGAAAACAGGATAAATATTTATTTCACTCAAAGCAGAATGAAGATTTGTGCTGATGTAGACTGAATGTAGGGAACATTTAGAGCTAAAATGAATAAAAATAAATAAAAAGAGTAAAACAATGCAGTTTATATGAATTCCTCAAAGAGCCTAACTTGAATTCTTGAGTTTATTAAAATATATATTATGTTAAGAAATAACGTGGGGTTAGGTTGGAAGGTTGTGCACCAAAATTCAGATTTTTAATAAGTTACATGAAAGATAAATTTGGCTCAACCTATAAAAGTGTGTTTCTTGGCGATCATTTACCCGTTTTGTTCACAAGCTCCTTAAATCAAAAATGGCTTCATCATGCTCGGTTCTATGAGTTTAAACTTTTTTAGAGTGTTGAGCCACAAAGTGGTGGTGGGTTTCACTTCCTGCCCTTTCCGCTTCTCGTAAAAGTGGATCTGGAGGGGCGTGGACAAACCAGCTGAGGCTTTGCAAGATAAGAGACGCAGCAAGAGCGAAGGAGAGAGACAGAAGAAACTATCACGTGTGACAGGATGAGGGAAAAATAATTTTATATTAATGCATCGAGATATGAAAGGGACCACATGAACGACTGCAGGTGAAGACGGTTCAGACCGAGGGAAACTGGAGCGGTATTCTATTTGAAAGGAGTCTACGTTTGATGGGGGAAACTGAAGAACTTCTAGCACACTTATACCACTGCTGTAGATACCCCAAATCTTTAGAGGTGAGTGTTCTGCCTTTATACAAACATCCACTTTATCGGACTGCCAGTTTGACAGAAGTCATGTTTAACCCTAAACAGACATCCCTCATACAGCCATGGTGGGGTACGTTCTAAGCTTTTAATGTGGAGTTACCTAAAAATGTTCCCACATCAGGGGTGCTTTCCCTTCCTAATGTCATTACAAATGACTACAACCCTCATAAAGACTGCCCTTTACGTCCGTGGTCCACGTCTTACTCACCTGCTCTAAACACTTTACAGTGGTTTTACTCTCAAAGCTCCATGCAATTGTTTTTTCCTTGAGTGTGCATGTGTTAAGCTGATTTTGCATTTCTGTCTTTGCAGAGCGGAGCAAACTTCAACCACTAACGCAATGACCATTTTCCTTTCAACTGCCTCCCCCCCAACCACTCTGACCTCAGTGTTCTCTAACTTTTCGCCCAGTTTTGTTTCAGCCACTTCTGCTTCTATGTGGAACGCTTCGTTCACTGATGTCGGCCCTTCGAATCAAACATGCGAGCTGGACGGTTCGCCTCTACGCCTGCCGCTGGCAGCCTTCTACTCCTTCGTCTTCATTTTCGGGCTGGTGGGGAACCTGTTCGCTCTGTGGGTCTTCCTGTCTCTACACTCGCGCCGAAACTCCGTGCGGGTGTTCCTCATCAACTGCGCCGTGGCTGATCTGATCCTGCTGGCGTGTTTGCCCTTTAGGGTGTTCTACCATCTAAATAAAGACAATTGGGTGCTGGGACGCGTGACCTGCAAATTAGTGGGAACCACCTTCTACATGAACATGTACATCAGTATAGTGTTGCTGGGGTTCATCAGCCTGGACAGATACTTGAGGATGAGGGGGAAAGGCCGAGAACGGAGGGGTATGAGGTTGAGGTTGTTGGGGCGTAGACAACCTTGGAGCTGGGTGGCCTGTGGAGCTCTGTGGGCAGCGTCACTGACGGGAGCGTTGGCGCTGATCTCAACACCAAACAAGGAAGCGTCCAGTGGCAAATGCTTCCAATACAAGAAAATAACGAACTGGACAGCCTACTTCAACCTTATGGTGGTGCTGCTGTTCTGGTTCATCTTCATTCTCCTCGTGGTTTCTTATGTCAGAATTGCCTCTAAGCTGCTTTATTTGTCCAAGAACAAGCCAGACCTTCCAAATGCACAGAAATATAAACGGACCGCCAAGAAGTCCTTCTTTGTCCTGTTTCTGTTCACCATCTGTTTCGTACCCTACCACGCCTTCCGCCCGTTCTACATCCTCACCCAACTCGACTACTTTAAGTCCTGTTCCACATTAAGGATCGTGGACCATACCAACGAGATCATGCTGTTATTCTCAGCCTTCAACAGCTGCCTCGATCCTGTCATGTACTTCCTGCTGTCTGGATCAGTGCGCAAAACGGCTCTGCGAGTACTCGGACACCGTCTGGGCACCCGTCTACCTTTCCTTAATGATGCAACGTCAAACAGCTCTACAATTGATAACAGACGGACATCTGTGCCACTGGCTTTATCGGCGCAAGTTATCCACAACCCTTCACTCACACCCAGTACCAGCTTCAGTGTTGTCAACTCCAACCTCCACCGTGCAGGAATGACTACGCTGCAATCGACTGCTCAACAGTGAAGTCTGTTGGGCTTCTCAGGTGTGCACCAACACCAAAAGCAAGAATCCCGGACGTAGGATGGACTAAACATTAAGAAAACTGAATTCAGCTACATTTGTTGCAGTTCCTGCTGCATTCTGAGGTTCCCGTCTAAACTCGAATGTTTAAGTGAAATTGACTTACATTTTTTTATTTGACAACAGAGGAGTTGTCTAGTAAACAATCTGTTTTTGGCTCTTAGCTGCCACCGATCTGCAGAAAATCATTACGATGAAGGGAAAAGCAACATCATAATGTGTTATATCTATAAATATACAGTGATCCCTCGCTACTTCGCGGTTCATTTATCGAGGATTCACGACTTCGCAGATTTTTTCTTTGAAGCCTTATTCAAGGGAAATTTGCAATTCGCGTTATTTTTCTATGCGAAATATCAAGAAATTCCTGTTTTTTTCATCAATTTCATCATAAAATGCACTTTTTGTAATAAAACTATAAAAAAACAAGTAAAAATTGTAAAGGGAGGGTTTTAAAAGTCTGAATACTGAATACGTACCTGTTAAATAAATACTGTAAATATGGTGTTCCTACTTTGCGGATTTTCACCTATCGCGGCCAGGTCTGGAACGCATCTACCGCGATAAACGAGGGATCACATTAATTCTAAGAAGTTTGTTTCTTTTTATCTTCTGGTTTCAAAGATCTCATTCACTCATTTTTTATTAAATCTGCTGTGATCTCTAGTATCTATTGTTTTCTGTGGACAAAAGCTCTGGTGCTCCTGTTTCAGAAGAAGTTTGTTGAAGGAGTGGGCTGGAAAACGACAGGATTTGGAGTCTTACTCATCAACATTCGTGATATGCAAACGTCTTGTGCTTTTGATTGGCTAACAGCACCCTGAGTCTTCCACTGCCTCCGTTTGCTCTTGGGTTAAAAAAATGCAACGTTGATGTGTTATCTCCACAAATAACCACAAGCCTGAAGGTGTCCCACCATGTTGTAGAGTTGCGAATGGTTCCAATAGTCGAGAAGCACTTTCTCTCCTCTTCCTGTGGGCGGTTCCAAGCCAAGGTGGGCAGGGCCATGTATACCAATTTTCCCTGTGATATAGAAGAGACTGGCTTTTCGGCCCAATGGTTTTTCTGTGTTTTCGGTTTGCGGCTAATGCAGGTGATGGTATGTTCAGCACGCATGTGCGACTCAGAGACTGATCGTATTTCAAAATGAATAAGTAGGGATGTCCCGTTCCGATATGAAACACTATCGGATTATATTGGACTGAATCAAAAATCTCCAATATAAGCGGCCCATTAAGGTTCACATTTTTGCATTAACATTAAGGTTGTCATTATTTTCATACTTACCGTTACTGGATCTTGTTCTCCGATTGAGTAATATCACCTGATCAAGCCTTTGATACATTCCACACTAAAATACAGGTAAAAGTATGTTTGATTTGTGCCGATATCGTATCAGATTGATATTGGTACTGGTCAATACTGAATTGGTATCGTATCGGAAATGAAAAAGCTGTATTGGGACATCCCTATATTATAAGTATGACACGGTTTCTATGGTAACTAGCATTTTTAAAGTTACTGAATCCATTTTGGGTATTTTCTAGGGATGCATAAAAAATTTGACCCACCGAAATTTTTCAGTCGAAAATGACCGAAACCCGCATTTTTGATTTTCAACCGAAAGTCCTTAATCATTGAAACAAAATGGCCGAAATAGGACATTCGGTGAACCTCGTTTTTGTTTCATCTCGCTTTGCCCTCATGTGGCAACTTGCTTCTTGATTCATAAAAAAAGAACATTCGTACTCATTTCAAAAGTAATGATTTTCCATTTTTAGTAATGTTGTATTACTACGATCGTTGTTTTAATTCGGGACTAGTTTGTTTTGAGCGTAATGAGAAAGTGATGCGGCTCTCACATGATCGTTTTAGGCCAATGAGGTACACGCATTTATTAAACAGAAATCCAACATGGCGGCGTACTCAGAGTCCGAAAAACCAGAGATTATGATTTTAATAGCTTAGAAACTTCTGAATTAGTGAACAAAAATGATTTTTATGGAAACATGGAGCTGCAACACGCACAAAACAACATCATGTCCATGCTGCTACTCTCCGAATCCAAGCACTCACAGTGAGACGTTTGTGCTGTAGCTCGTGTCTTTGATGAGAAGAGGAACAGACTTGCGTAACAAAGCAGCAGTAGTCCTACACAGAAACATTTAAAAGGCGCTTGGCATTGTTTTTATTTGAGAACATGTTTAATTTTACAGTGCTTCTCAGCAGGACTTTCACTTATAAGCTTATTATTAATTAATGTACACATGAATGGAGTAGAGTGAAACATTTTATTTTGAAGTTTAATTTATATTGTGCATTGTTATGTGCCGAATGAATATTTTAATAGTTTTGTAATTGATTTATTTCAGTGCCGTAATTTTAGTTCAGTTAATACATCATAGCTGTGGTTCTAATGATGAAAATTATTTGTTTCTGTGTTTTGGCCGAGATGCTTCATTTCGGTGCATCCCGAGTATTTTCCACCTTCTTAGCACCAACTCGTTCTATTTTGGTACTGCATAAAGCCGTCTTCATCATCACTGACACGGTTTGATTACCATTTATAACGGTATAATGGTGATTTTTATTGTCACCAGCAGGTGTTTATAGATCATGCATTAAAGTCCTGTTTTAGTTGTGACCGGGGATTATGGAAGAAGATTAAGGCCACTAAAAGAAAAGAAAAGAAAAGAAAAGAAAAGAAAAGAAAAGAAAAGGTGAAGAAACTCTGACCTTTTTCTGAGATTGGTCAGGATTGTTTTTCTTTTCAGTGCCCCTAATCCGTAGTGTTCAGACTGTTGAAACGGGCGATGTAAAACCTACTGGTGGTATTTAAACAGCAGTTTGACGGAATTACAGCATCTGTGTAGCTAAACTGTCTGCCTAGACTGTGATCCTCTGTAGACTTTAATGATAGAGCATCAAACATTTAGTAGAAGGGACGTCCTAAGTGACGTGATGTTCTGGTCATGGGAAACCCAGATCAGAACATCACATCTGTCAGCTCCTGACTGTTTTTCAAAAGAACGAGGTCTATCGCCACCATCATCCTCTGGTGGAAAACCCTTCTGTTGAGGTTCAGGGTATCTGCAGGTTTAAGGAAGCCAAATTTAAGACTTTTTAAGACCTTTTTTAAGGCCACTTTGACCAAATTTAAGCTATTTAAGCAGGGCAGCAGTGGCTCAACAGGTTGAGCGGTTTGTCCAGTAATCGGAAGGTTGCAGATTCGATTCCAGCTCCGGACAGAGAATTCTGCTGTTGTGTCCTTGGGCAAGACACTTAACCCACCTTGCCTGCTGGTGGTGGTCGGAGGGACCGGTGGCGCCAGTGCTCGGCAGCCTCGCCTCTACATCGTAGCTCATCACCATCAGTGTGTGAATGTGTGTGTGAATGGATCGATGATACACTGTAGTGTAAAGCGCTTTGGAGTCCTTACTCTGACAGACGCTATACAAGTGCGGGTCATTTATCATTTAAGCTATAATTTCCAGCTATTGCCTGGAACCGGTGCTAACCACGCCGCAATCATGGGATTAGCCATCCAGTTACCATTAAACTTGCCCTTCCCCATGGCGCAAGCTCCCACTAGCTTAACCAGTTAATGTGCTCATCTAAAAATATCCCCCTTTCACAACCAACTGAACGTGTATGGTTCCGTTTACGGCAACATCATACACAAAAATGCTGAACACTAACTAGAAATTCACGAAAATTTTATAGAAATAAAAGAATTTTGTTTATTGGGTCTTTGGTCATTTAAGACCTCTGGAAACTGTATTTAAGGATTATTTGTCATTTTTAAGGATTTTTAAGGCCTTAAATTTGGAAAAGCTAATTTAAGACTTTTTAAGACTTTTTAAGGACCCGCGGATACCCTGAGGTTGTACTCCTGTGCAGTGGTTATGTCTCACCTTTACATCGCGATGAATCACATTGTTGTCATGGCAGTACCTCAGAGCCTCCAGAATCTGCCTCATGTAGTGACTAGATGGACAGCAAACAGACACAGGGGAGCTTATTTAGGGCATCCACACTTTTAGGGCTTTAATATTTCATAAACTGTGTGTCCTACCTGGCCACAGCCTCGCTGTAAACAAACCCCGCATCGGCTCTCTTGACTATTTCGAAGCACAAATCTGCTCCATCCATGCTGTGAAAGAGGAGAATTAAATCAGAGACGACAACAGTTTAACTCGTCTTTTAACTAATTACAAATAAAAGATCAAACACATGGAACAATTCATAAAACATCAAAAAGATCTCAGGGTTATCGTATTTTTTTTTTGCACATTTCATATTAAATCTTGACGTTTCCAATGATGTAATGATGTGATGTCATCATCAGCTTAGAAAACGGTCTACTAAAGGAGACTAGTGACCGTTTAAAGATGCACCATGAATCTCCTTACCTTCCTCGCTGTACTGTGTTTTTCTCAAGTGCACCATTAATTCTGCTGCGGCTGACGCCAGGCAGTTTGCAGAACTTGTATCGGAGTGTGAAATTACCAACCTCAGCCATCTGTTAACGCCTGATAAAATTAGCCTGCTCTCTGGCTTTGCATTTCTAGTTTTGTGTGTTGGTTGGGATGACAGGATGTGTTTCTGATCAGCGTTTTTACTAGAAAAGGTGATTTTGGTTCACCTTCACCTTTCAGCGACAAACCAAAACATAACTTACAATTCAAAGACCATGTAGAGCATGCCGTCAGAGCTGTAGGTCTCCAGCAGCTCCACGATGTGGGGGTGTTTGAGCATGTGGCAGATACTGGCCTCTCGCTTCAGATCTGCAGGATGACACACGGTTCAAACGCATTAGTGCACATCTACAGGTTGTAACGTATGGGTTTGCTTTTAAATGTGTAGCCACGATGTTGTTAGAGTGACTGATTATAACTCAAACAGCAGATTTTGATTCATGCTGGTGAAAATGATGCACAAACTCCAAACAAATGAAGACATTTGGTAAATAAAACAATCCTAAATATAATTTAGCCCAATGTGCTGAGTGATTATCTAAAAATAAACGACTTGTTTCTCTTAATGTGATTTAAAACAAATAAAAACAGACTAAACTTGTCGTGACAAGCATTCACCACCAGAGGGGGATAAAGAGAAGAGTCTCCTTTTTTTGTTTGGAAAAATAATAATAAACAATGACCGATGCAGACAGGAATCTGGTTACTCTCATCACCATCATCATTATCCTTTCCTCAAACCGCTAACAGAGATGTGCAAATTTATTTCTACCTCAGCTCCAAACACTCATTAAAATAATCTAACAGACCAAATTAGACCATAATACCAATTTTATTATGTTTTCTAAAGCAACCACCATTTTATTTTGTCACCTCGTCCCTCCTGAAGACTAAATTCATGAGTTTGATGGCATTTTCCTAAAGTCAAGACAAGTAGAGGTGGCAGAATGAAGGCAAAACACACTGGCAGTGTGTGATGGACAATGAAGTTTTATTTTGTGTGCGACTTCATAGCACGGTGTTACAGAAAAATGTTCCCTTGTGGTTCTGTTTCTGTTTTACACACGAGGACTACAAAATTTTGTAATAATTTAATATGATTACTCCCTGAAAACACAATCTAAAAACATGTAATTCATCTATGAAAGCACAGATTTAGGTTGCTGTTTATTGGTGGTCAAAATGAGGCATAAATGACTTGTTGTTAAACACTAAATTCATTCAAAACTACCATAAAAGACCAAATGTCAGGTGTGTTTAGGGTAAGAAAAATATCCAGTTTGTCCTCAATTCAGATTTCAGATTGTCTGGAACACATACACACTGAATAATTAAACCTCATTTTCTAGTTGACCAGATTGATCACCTGATTAAAATGTAAACATCCCTTTGCCACTACAGGAGCCCTGATGTCAAAACAGTCTTTACAGATAGATATGAGTCGATTCAGGATTTTTCAATGTTTAGAATTTCAACATTGTAGGAAAACATTGCTGGGTGTAACCGAGCAAATTGGGTTTTACTGAAAATAATGGCCGTGTTTTGTTTTTGTTTTTTTTTACCCAATTAATATACTGCCATTGTGTTTTGCCCTCATTCTGCCATCATTACTTTTATTGATGTTTGCTCACTAATCAGATTGTAACAGTTTTTTTTTAAGCTAAGTTTTAGTGGGTTATATTGTTTTTATGATTGTTCGGGCCCAAACTTAAAGACAGATTTGACCATATATCTAATTAACTGACGTGGCTGTTTACACTGACTGATTTAAATAGTTTTGGTGGTATGAGTTGTACTTTTACGAGTTTTATTAATGTCTAAATTGAGCAACTCTGCCACAAACTACGGCCTCTAATCCTGTTCTCCTGTAAAATAGTTGTGATTACTGAAAACAACTGCCCATGACTCAGCATCTGTCAAATCCTGGGATGGGTGGACAACCTTAAAAACAAAAACCCTGCTGAATAGTCCTGGAAATGGCTGTGAAGAGATGGTTAAAACAGACAGCTACAACATCACAGTGTGCTCCTTTTGGGCTCCTCGGTCCATAAAATCCCCCCCCAGCCCCCATCTGCATGTCTACTGATCTTTGTGTGCCTGCTTTTTGTGTGGTGACAGTCCAGGATCATTACGCAACACAGAGAAATGAAGCTGTGTCCCCCCACAACAGAGCCCCCATTCTGCTGTCCCAATGCCTCCATTATCTCCTTCCTCTCCTCTGTACGCTCATCCTTACCCGTCCCGTTGATTATCGGTTCTTGGGCGTAGCGACACTCTGAATAAAACCAATGATTTTCACCGAGCGGATTCTAAATCAGTCCTCGGGAAGACTTTGTGATGTAATGCTCACTTTCTAACAATCCGGCCGTTTTATCTCTCCGTTTTACCACCACGGGACTAAAACGGTACCTTCTGCATCTCAGACACAAAAAACCCTATTTTAAATCAGACTGTTAGTAGATTTTATTCTTTAAATCCCGTAACGCTTTGAAATCTTTGCCCTCCACTTTGCATTTCTTCCCCAGGTGGCAGCTTGGTCTCCTTTTCACTCACATTTATGCTGATGCAGTTTCTTCCTTAATAAGCTACGGTGTGTGTTCTCAGGAAACCACTCAAAGTGAGTCTGGCTCTAATCCAGCTCTTCATATTGCCACTATCTGAGATCCACCAGCTTATTTCCTCAACTGACTTATAAAATGTCACAAACAAGGTGACCCTACAATCTGTGTCTCAGTTGTTCTGTTTTGATGGGGGAAAAAATTTCTAAAATGAAAAAGTTATTTGTTTTTTGCTAAATGTTTTTTTTTTTAACGGATACTAAAACCAAAAACATGTCTTGTTTTTTTTTATATTTTTATTTTAGTCTGGGATCAAAAATGTGACAAAAAAAATACGGGCTGCAGGACCTAATTTGATTGTACTATTTCATGTGTCATGTTTACGTGGACAGGTACCGACGTAGTTATCCTCAACACTAAGTGTCCCTGAGTCAGGATCACCCACTGGGCAGGAATCGCACTTCGCTAACTAGACGTGAAATTATGTTTTAATTTTGTGATTAAAAAAAGCTGAAAGGTGAGTTTTGTTACTTCAGTCTTCAGTCTGTGGGTGAAAACTGCAAGTGCTACGTTCCTTCCAGGTACCATCCGGGTACTTGAATCGCGTAAACATCTCGTTCTCAGCTGACGGATGCTACACATCAACATTTATCCAAGATAAGTGATAATACAAGAGGGGAAATTGTGTTTTTACACTTTTTATGTCACCCGTTAATGACGTGGTTTAGGACTCATAGCAAGCTAGCAAGAGTAGCAAGAATTTAGCAGTAGCAAACGTTAATTTTTTTGGTGCGTGTGTAGAAGTCATGTGACAATCTTCCTCATGTAAAATGTTGATTAAATTTATATTCAGTGAACTTTTCCAGGGCGGTTTATAATCCAGAGTGTTTTCCATTGAAAATAGAACAAATGATACATGGATTCTCCATGTGTGCTTGAATGTGAATGATGCTGCATGCAAAGTGTAACTTAACACTTTGGTCGAGGTAAATGTTCAAAAAGAATTGGGGAAAACATGGACTATCTTATCCCAGTGATACCTAGTAAATAGAATTTATTAGGCAATAATAATTTACATTTGTTATGGAGTAAGTCTGATCTGTACTTCCATAGCAGCTCTTCGCTGCTTTTATGGTCGTGCCACCTGCCCATTTTTTTTATCACTGGCATTTTTGTAGTTTGTAAGAATTTGGAAATATTAGTAAAATCAGTTAAAAATAAATAAATAAATAAATAAGATGCGTTAAAAAATTGTATAAACTTTGTCAAATAAATGAATGAGATTTAAATAAACAAAATACATATACAGTAAAAAAAATTATTTATTTATTTTTTACAAAAATGCAAAATCATGTTTATGATGGCAGGTCAAAGATTGGAAATGCAGTTTAGGGCTAGCCTAGTGAACTAGACCAAATTCTTGCTTTGCAAAGTTTAGTCTAGGAACGCTATTGGAACCTCTGTTCTCTATCCACTTTGTGGGCCAATCAGGGCCCTCTATTCATCTCGAGGGCGGGATGATGCCACGGAGTGGAAAGAGATGGTGACAGCTGGTTTGAAACGGCTTTTACATCAATTCTGAACTTTTTGGAATTGGGCTTTATTAGAATCAGGAGCAGAAAGATGTATTTAAGTCCTTTATTAAGAAAAAGGATGTATTTTCGCCTGTTTCAACAGCGGACTGCCCGTTTGCAGACATCCGTTGCGGTGAGTCACATTGTCCAATAGCATGCAGAGATCATTTAAAAGACTATTTGAAAGACCCATCCCACGTACAAGAACAGTCAAAGGAGCATTGCCAGATTAAATAATATAGTTATTTATTCTGGCTTGCCAGGCTAGTTCGGGGCCACTGGACATTACTCCGAGAACCACAAATGGCCCATTGGCCTCACTTTAGACACCTCTGCTTTCAAGAATCAAACATAATAACTGCCAACAAAAAGGTTATTTATTTAAAACAGACATTTATAGTTTATTAAGGTGAAAATGGACAAGTGACCATAATATATTTGATTAGTTGGTGCACTCTGAAGTGAGATGAATTTTGTATGTAATTGGTGAAACTTATTGCTCTTAATTTGAAAAGCTGCACTGCAAGGTTCCTGGTGCGTTTGTTGCTGAAGGGGATCAACAGATGCAGATTTTATATTGAGTATTTCTCTTGTCTAATGGCACCATCTAGTGGCTAACAAGCGTATCACACAAAAACGCTGTTCCTTTGTATTTTTAAGATGGCGACTTCACGTTTCTGTTTATAAATGTGCTTCTGGAGCCGACAAACAGAGCTAAAACACATTGTTTTACGAGTATTATTCTCATGTCATGTTGTGTTTTTATATATTTATATTTTAGAGACTTTCTTGTCCATGAAAAGTTAATCAACTCTGTATCAGCCGAGGTATTCCTTAAATGTGAAGCGTCTAAGCGGCAGTCTAACTCTATTGGTTAGCTCTGGTCGGCGCTCAGTTTCCTATTGCACGGAGCTTTGCCGGGCAGGGAACGTGCTTGACAAAAAAAAAAAAGATGTATTGCTTATATTATATCACAGTACATGATAAGATAATCACTTTTACGGATTTCTGACAAATCATACATAATTTCTGAAAGAGGAAATCTCCGGAAAGCAGCTTTAATGAAAGCTTTTCTTCTTCACCCGGTAGTAACAATCTGCTAACACGGCCACTAGGTGGTGGTAATGCACCAAATAGTTTCCTAAACACTACAGTACTTTTTCAGGCAGGGATCATTTTTTTCAGCCCAACAACTATAAAATAAATCTTGGCAGTTATCCAAAATTTTGCAAAGGGAGTGAGACTTTTAAGAAGACAGCGTGAACCAGGAAACGGTCATAAATCATAAAGCAGATGCTAAAACTAGTCGTCATTAAGATGAACGTGAGAAATTGGTTGATTTGTGTTGTTCATGTTGTTAATTGGCTCTGTATAAATGCAATGTCAAAAGTGTGAATTGCTGACGATATCTTCATCCTTTTACATGTGTGTACTGTAGGGGTGTTGGGTGAATATGTGAAAAACACCCATCAGATTGTGTTTCACCATTTCCACCTGCTAGGAATTAAAAAACTGACTCTAAAGCTTTTGTAGCGTCTCCTACCTTCTATTAATAAGAGCTTGGTGGCTAGAGCTAGCTACACTCGGAGCCTGTGTCACACCAGGACCCACAGTTTATTTTCTGATCATCCCTCCCAGCTCGAAGCAACGTTACAAACGCCTGCTACCAAAGGATTTGTGACGGGTATCATGGGACCTGTGGGATGCCAATCCCAACACAGCTTAGTTCTTTAAAGCTCCATAAAAAGCCAAAGGAAACCGGCCGACCACAGGAGTTTGGTGGATGACCTATAAATGCTCGACCTGTCCGTGCGTTGTGGAGAAGTAGTCCTTTAACGGGGCTCACTTACCATCTCAGGTGAGTAGATGTTATGTTTTCATTCTCTTTGCTCTCGTTTCACCTCCCTTGGGTCATTTCCTGCTCTTGCGGTTATTGGCTGTAAAACTAATCTGTGACTGGGGCGTTACAGATGGCGCGTAGCGACTGCCAACACCGCCGTTCACACACACACACACACACACACACACCTATGATGTTCGCTTTAATCTCCCACTTTGACAAATGCGCACAGATCTCAGCGTGACGCGGCACATAAACCACGGTGAGACGTGGCATCTCGCATACACCGCCGCTACAAAGATGGTTCCCATCACCTTCTGTGCTGAGCCCAGGGCTGGAGGTGAAGCTGGCCACGTCGACGATCTTCACGGCAAACTGCTGGCCCGTGTCCCGGTTGATGCAGCGCCTCACCACGCTGAAGGGACCCCTGAAACATAAAAGCACCACATTATTCCCTCAAAACAAGAAAAATGCACAAAACTCTGACTTTTTCCAAGTTGCAACACCAAAACATCGATGCCTTTAGCCCGTATTTATAAGACGCATGCACACATCACCGTGGGCACACACCAGCCTGGTGAAACGGACACACACAGTGTTGTTTCTGAGAATATTCTGGATTTACAGTGGGTGGTTTGCTACGCTCCAAAGCCTCCATGCCAGTGGGAATTATAGAGCTGTGTGGTGCAGTGCAGCTGCACAAAATCTAAAATAAAAGCTATATTACAGAGACCTGTACAAGGGAGACCCACCCTGTGTGTTTTAGCTCAAGAGTAAGAAGGTGGAAGACGGCGCAAAGTCGGGAATGCCCGTTTTCCAAAGGAGGGCCGTAAAAGTTTCCACTCAGGGTGAAGAGGGAAATCCGTTCAGACTTAAGGACTTTTGTGTTGCAATAACAACAGAAAAGCTGCTTTTTTCTCCCACATTAATGTCAGCAAGAATGTGTTTGAAGTTTTAGCAAAATATTTAATAAACCAAGAATTTTATTTTTTATTTTGGGAATCTTTACGAGTACATCAATGCCTTTTTACCATTCTGACTTTTATTTATTGAGTCACATGTTTTTCACCCAAATAAGCATCTTAGTATGAGGTAGACTTCAATATTTCAACAATTTCCCTCAAATAAATAAAAAATGAAATTCTTGATTATAAAAAAATTAAATAAATAAAAAGATTTACAGTTTAAATTAATTATTTTGTAGCTTTTTTCCCACCTCAGAATGTTATCTTTAGGTTTATTCGATCACTCACATTACAAAAGAATCCCACCACTGCTTCCCAAACAATTTTTAGTGTTTGTGGCATTCAGCGGGTACAGAAACCGTTTAGACTCCCGTCAGTTTTTCGCTCACGTTAAATTGCAGCCGTTTGCTAAAATCAATTAAATTCATCTTTTTTCTTATTAATGTACACACAGCACCCCAAATTTCTGCAGTTATTAAAAAAGACAAACTGAAATATCACATGGTCCCAGGTCTACAGATGCTTTGCTGTGATGCTCCTATTTAACTCAGGTGCTTTCCAATTCTTCTGATCATCCTTGAGATGGTCCCTGTACTTTGTCGCATTCATCGTTCCCTCGATTGCATCCAAACGTCCTGTCCCTGCAGCTGAAAAACACCCCACAGCATGATGCTGCCACCACCATGCTTCACTGTGGGGACTGTATCGGACAAGTGATGAGCAGTGCCTGGTTTTCCCCACACATACGAATTAAGGCCAAAAAGTTCCATCTTGGTCTCATCAGACCAGAGAATTTTATTTCTCACCATCTCGGGGACCTTCAGGTGTCTTTTAGCAAACTCCATGCGGGCTTTCATGTGTCTTACCACTGACGAGGCTTCCGATGGGTCACTCTGCCATCAAGTCCTGACTGGCGGAGAGCTGCTGGGATGGTCGAGTTTCTACAACTTTCTCCCATCTCCTGACTACATCTCTGGAGCTCAGCCACAGTGATCTTTGGGTTCTTCTTGTTTTCTCTCACCATGGCTCTTCTCCCGGTATCTCAGTTTGGCTGTAAGGCCTGCTCTAGGGATGGTTCTGGTCGTCCCCAAACACCTTCCATTTAAGGATTATAAAGGACTCTTAGGAACCTGAAGTGCAGCAGAGATATTTGTAACCTTGTCCAGATCTGCGCCTCGCCACAATTCTGTCTCTAAGCTCTTCAGGCAGTTCCTTTGACCTCATGGTTCTCATTTGCTCTGGCATGCATCATGAGCTGTACGGTCTTATAAAGACAGGTGTGTGGCTTTCTTAATCAAGTCCAATCAGTATAATCAAACACATACAGGTGCTGGCCAGTAAATTAGAATATCATCAAAAGGTTGAAAATATTTCAGTAATTCCATTCAAAACGTGAAACTTGTACATTATATTCATGCAATGCACACAGACCAATGTATTTCCAATGTTCATTACATTTAAATTTGATATTCATAAGTGACAACTAATGAAAACTCCAAATTTGGTATCTCAAAAAATTAGAATATTCTGAAAAGGCTGAATATAGAAGACACCTGCTGCCACTCTAATCAGCTGATTTACTCAAAACACCTGCAAAGGCCTTTAAAAGGTCCCTCAGTCTTGTTTTGAAGGCACCACAATCATGGGGAAGACTTCTGACTTAACAGCTGTCCAAAAGACAATCATTGACACCTTGCACAAGGAGGGCAAGACACAAAAGGTGATTGCTAAAGAAGCTGGCTGTTCGCAGAGCTCTGTGTCCAAGCACATTAACAGACAGGCGAAGGGACGGAAAAAATGTGGTAGAAAAAAGTGTACAAGCTCTAGGGATAACCGCACCCTGCAGAGAATTGTGACGACAAACCCATTCAAAAATGTGGGGGAGATCCACAAAGAGTGGACTGCAGCTGGAGTCAGCGCTTCAAGAACCACCACGAGGAGACTCATGAAAGACATGGGATTCAGGTGTCGCATTCCGTGTGTCAAGCCACTCTTGAACATGAAACAGCGCAAGAAGCGTCTCGCCTGGGCCAAGGACAAAAAGGACTGGACTGATGCCGAGTGGTCCAAAGTTATGTTTTCTGATGAAAGCAAGTTCTGCATTTCCTTTGGAAATCAAGGACCCAGAGTCTGGAGGAAGAGCGGAGAAGCACAGAATCCACGTTGCATGAGGTCCAGTGTAAAGTTTCCACCGTCAGTGATGGTGTGGGGTGCCATGTCATCTGCCGGTGTTGGCCCACTCTGTTTCCTGAGGTCCAGGGTCAATGCAGCCGTCTACCAGGAAGTTTTAGAGCACTTCATGCTTCCTGCTGCTGACCAACTTTATGGGGATGCAGACTTCACCTTTCAACAGGACTTGGCACCTGCACACAGTGCCAAAACCACCAGCACCTGGTTCAAGGACCATGGTATCCCTGTCCTTGATTGGCCAGCAAACTCGCCTGACCTTAACCCCATAGAAAATCTATGGGGTATTGTGAAGCGGAGGATGCAATACGCTAGACCCAACAATGCAGAGGAGCTGAAGACGACTATCAGAGCAACCTGGGCTCTCATAACACCTGAGCAGTGCCACAGACTGATCGAGTCCATGCCACGCCGCATTACTGCAGTTATTGAGGCAAAAGGAGCCCCGACTAAGTATTGAGTGCTATACATGCACATTCTTTTCATGTTCATTCTTTTCAGTTGGCCAACATTAGAGAAACAAACATTTTTTCATTGGCCTTTAGAATATTCTAATTTTCTGAGATACCAGATTTGATGTTTTCATTGGTTGTCACCTATAAATATCAAAATTAAACGTAATAAACATCGGAAATACATTGGTCTGTGTGCATTGCATGAATATAATGTACAAGTTTCACGTTTTGAATGGAATTACTGAAATATTTTCAACCTTTTGATGATATTCTAATTTACTGGCCAGCACCTGTAATGAAGGTGTGGGACCATCTCAAGGATGATCAGAAGAAATGCAAAGCATCCGAGTAAAATATATGAGTGTCACAGCCAGTGTTGGGAGTAATGCCGTTTAAGTATAACGGCGTTACTAACGGCGTTCTTTTATAGGTAACGGAATAATCTAATTAATTACTTTTCCCGCCGTTGCAACGCCGTTACCGTTACTGGGGATGGAACGTTGTGCGTTACTATGTGCTTGTGGAACGTTGAGCAGCAGTGTGAGGCTTTCTGACCGCCACACTTCAGCTGCAGCCAGGGAGAGAGAGGTGTCAGTAACGCGCTTACAAACACGATGATGATAGGCCGGGTGGGCGGAGACCCTCACGGTCTCAGTCACTGCATTCTGTAGACACAACGGGAATAACTCCGTTTAAAATAACCGCGTTAATAAAAAATATTTCTTTCTGTAACGAGCAAACTAATTAATTACGTCTTCTTTTATCAAAACGTCGTTCCTGTTACTGATAAGGAAATGCGTGCGTTGAGCAGCGCGGTGTGTTGAAGCTGTCATCAGCTGATCAGGAGCTAAAGAGGCAGATGTTTAAGAGCATCACGGCCTGTGAAGAACGAGGAAGACGTGATGAATAGTCTACGGCTGCAGACCCGCAGATTTGTTGCTGCAGCAGCGAATCTGCGGGTCTGCAGCCGTGCCCTTAGCGTGACAGCGGGACGTCCCGAAGGTCCGCTCACCTGTTCACCGCTCAGACGTCCTGATCTTCTGCCTTCCTAGATCATCCCGCCTGTTTCTGATCATGTGTTTAGTCCCGCTGTAACCCTGATGCATCAGTCTCAGACGGCATGGAGCTCAGATGTTATCAGAACTACCTGTGTGTGTTTACCACCCAGCTTCAGCTCTTCTGTGGTTGGGTCTGACCCAAGTTAGTACATTTAAGTCCTCCATCAGATCTGTGTCTCTTCTAGTGTCATTTTAAAGGATATTTATTTATTTATTTAACCGTTACTAGATTAGCAGCAACAGAAATGCTGCTAAAAACACACAATTATGTGAAGCTGGAAAAATTAAAATGCTGTACAAACTTACATTCATTTCTGTAATTTAACTAGACTGAGAGACCATTTAAAGGCTCGGGAACCTTTACAGGTGTTTCTATTTGCAATTTTAAATTTTAGCTGATTGGGTTTTTGTTAAATATCACACAGTGACCTTTTAATAGTCTAGATTAGTGTAATGTTCCTGTTAGTAGTTCCTCCTGTTAAGTGCTTATTTATTGAAATTATTCAGGTTTATATAAAACATTTGGACATACATTTTATTCTGTTCAGTCATTAGTCATTTATATTTTACTATTGTAGTCATTCTTGCATTCTTTAATGAAAAAAGTAACTAAGTAGTTACTTTTGTTGGTAATTAGTTACTTTTATGATCTTGTAACTCAGTTAGTAACTGAGTTACTTTTTTGACAAAGTAATCAGTAACTATAACTAATTACTTTTTTAAAGTAACGTTCCCAACACTGGTCACAGCAAAGGGTCTTAG